ATTTGCCAAAAATCCTGCGTCATTTCATTAATATATGAAAGACAATTTGGTTCTTTCATTGCTGTGACAGAACAAGGCTGGCAACTAATATTAAAAAAAGACCACTGTTGGTCCAACTTTCAGTCATCTCCAAGTTCAGCCCCATTTGTTCCTGCTTAAGATTTGAATCTTTAAAAATGGGTTAATAATACGACTGTCTTATGTTGAAAGGGCAAAATAAAACTTCTAAAAACAGCTGCCAAGTGTAGTTTTTTGAACAAGCATTATTCAGACAGCCATTGTGCATTTATTAGACTGGCTTTGGCTGCAGATCTGATGTGCAGTAAGTATTAACAGCAGCAGGACTGTGTGTTTTTATCAGTTTTTGGACAACAATGGAGGTCTATGATGGAGAAATAATCTATATCAGATTTTTACTGCACAGGAAGTGTAGGATCACTTAATTGTTGGCATGCATTTTTCTAAGGGGTTTGCTGACACAGGCAAAATTATGACTATCAAAACTCTTTTAGACAAATACTTAACTGTCCATTTGACCTCACGCCTGCCTCACTGACTCAACTCTTACCTTTATCCTTGCAGCATACTTCAGCAGGAAACGAGGGTGGCGGTCAGTCCTTGTCGTCGCCCGGCTCCTGCTTGGAGGACTTCCGCACGACACCGTTCATCGAGTGCAACGGGGCCAAAGGCACATGCCACTACTTTGCCAACAAGTACAGCTTCTGGCTAACGTCGCTAGAGCAGTCGTACCACCCTGACCCTTCATCAGAGACGCTCAAAGCGGGCCAGCTCCTGTCACGTATCAGCCGCTGCCAGGTGTGCATGAAGAACTTGTGAAAGACTCTACAGTGACAGACAGAAGTTGTTCCGCTGACAGGTGGTCTCTATAACACTCAGATCAGCATCAGTGGAGAACTCTCTCCCCGAGCCACAGAGCTCAGATATGCAATGACTGTGCGACGCCTTGAGCTTTGAGTTACACTGTAGATAGAACAGGAGAAGCCCCGTAATGAAAACAACAGCATCACGGGTAAAACGATCATGTTTTTGTGTTAAATGTGGTTTGGTGCTTATTTTTTAACTTATTACCTCAGCTATATTGTCACATTGTTAACTATCAGAGACCGTACACTACAGCTGAACCAAAGATGCACATATATATATGCACTGCTTCAGTTTAACTAGATGTTTGTATTGTTTAGGGCATACAGCCCGCCATAAAGCCACTAACACTGCTTCTCAGCCACATGAAGAGAGTCACTAGAGGTCTTGAACAAGCGCTGGCTGATACCATCGACAGTATTATCCCGCTTTGACTCCATTGCTCCTACAAAGCCTATTTTTTATAAAATTACAGCAAGCTGTCGACTTCTTGTACGCATTTATCAACTACTGCAAACTCATCTATCATTATTCTCCATTTATCATATGTTCATAAAATGCACTGATTCTGTTTTTTACCTTCTGAATGAACTTGACCCCCTTCCTGAGAGTTTTGAATATATATCTTATCCAATTCCAGCAACATCACTCAGATTTTTTTGTACAAATCTACAAATTATTGACCCGCCCCAAGCTGCCAACAGGACAGAATGTAAACACTTAGGATCAGAGGTCTGACGGTAGCCAATCGTTGCTCTGATCCTGGTTTAGATTAGAGCATTTTACACAATTTAGAAAGTAGGTCAGATGTTCTACTTCACTTTGACACACTTGTTTGGAAATAAACAGATTGATTAGACCAGAAAAAATACTGACAACATCTGTTTTAATTGTAATATAATTATGGTTATTTCAACATGATTATTTCATTGGATTGTAAAGATTAAATGTTGTTTGTTATACTTCTGTGTCACTTTCCTCTCGGTTAAGTTTTTTAATTTTTGTCTTCACAGAGCAGGCAAACTGCAAAATAAAAATCTTTATTATGATAGCATGCTTAAAAATTCAACAGGGGTATTTTTACACTCATTGAGAAGCTCCATAAGTGCCGATAAAATATAAAGATCAATATAAATGGTAGTAACAGAGCAATAAAGTGAAATGTGATTGACGGAAACCTTGAAATACAACAACCATGAACACAGTGCAACGTGCCATCCAGCTAGCGATTAGCGCTGTTAATTTTGTGAAATTCTCAAAGCAAAACATACACAAATAGCAGTGATTGACTTCTTATCTGCGTTATCCGCACACAGACACATCTTTGGGATTTAAGTGCAGTTTCAGTCGTTAGAGTGGAAGGTTTCAAAGCATCGAGTGACAATGCAACGTGCGTTTATTTCCCTTCCTTACAAAGAAATACTTAAAAAATCCTCTAGACACTCTGAATTTGATTTGCTTTTCCAGACCTTCACAGCATCGAGAATGTATGCGTGTTACTGGGAGGTCAATAATGCAATTAGGTCTCACTCAAGCCCAACAAAAGTAGTACCATCACAGTTGATGCTCAGACCAACCTGCAGATTGTCCCTGGTTAAAAAAAAAAAACGAGTCTGCCGGTGGAAGCCTCCTCGCCTCTCATTGGCCGCTAGCAGCAGCCAATTCTGGCCTTCCTGCTGTGAGCCCCCTGACTGTCCTCCAGATCCACCGTAGGAGACTCCTGGTTCTCGTGTCTCTTCCTCAGGATGGAGGGCAGCACCAGATCGAACATCGTCTCAAACAGAGCGTCCACATTATAGCCGGTCTTGGCACTTGTCTCGAAGCACACCTTCTCGGCAGGCAGGCTGCTCTTTTCGTCCAGGCCCTTGTAGCGTAGTATTCTCCCATAAAGAGCCACCGCATCCTCGTGTGTCACCTGTTTGTGAAGCATCACGCCGGAAAGGGATGCGGGTGAGGCCGGGGGTGTTGGGCACGCAGACAACACCTGTGGTTCAGTCCTCTCCTCCTCGCACTCAGTTTGGTCCTCGGGCTGTCCGTCTGATGTCCTGGACAGATGGGCTTTAGGGTCCGTGAGATCGGCCTTGTTGCCCACTATGGCGTAGATGCAGTCGTGGTTGGCGGTGTCGGTCAGGGACAGGAAACGCTCCTCCAGCTCAGCAAGGCTCTGCCAGTTGGTGACGTCGTAAGTGAGGATGACAGCGGCCGCACCGCGACAGTACATGGAGCCCAAACCGTGGAACTGTTCCCGGCCTGAGAAGACAAGAGGCAGATCCAACCGGCTCAACTTTGACCCCATAAACAACACGGAATGAAAACCGACCAGCAGTGCAGAAAGACACAGCAGAGAGGTTTTTGTGCAAGACAGTCAGCAGTTTGAAAACAGAAACGAGCTTTGTTGTTGAAATATGCAGGATTCTTGAAAGGGCACATTGTGTGTGTGAATACACTGCACCGGGGGCATGTTTTGGTAATACACTCAGATATCCGTTCATTAGATACACCTAGATTTGTTTTTGAATGCAGTCGGAAATATCAGTAAATAAATTATGCACTTTTGAAGGTTGTACTGTTGTAAACTATTTTAGAGGTGTTGATTCAGTGTAACACAATATACTTAAACACCACAAACTACAGCCTTGAAAATATCACGAAGTCAGATAAATACCTCTCAAAAACTTCACAAAGGGCTGTTGCATTAGAACATGTTTTTACCAAACTGTACTACAAACTGGCAACAAGGGTTCATTTTGGTCGTTTAATCTGCTGCATAATTTTTCAAATAATTAATCATATGTTAGGTGGTTTGTTTTGCTTCATCTAACTCAGTCCAAAACCCAAAAATACTGAGTTTAGAATCAGACATGAGAGGAAAAAGCAAAGAAACACCCGTATCAGTTGCTCAAATGATTAATTTTTTGCTTCAAATATGACTGATATGATATTCAAATTATGAAAATTAAAATAAGCTGCCCCACTTTTTTTTTTTTTTAAACATGCTCTCGGCTCAAGTGACAGAAAGAAGAACCCCTCACAAAGCTCTTCTCGTGTTTCTGGAAAAAAAGTGTCGCATGCAAGTTTGGAAAAGACAGGTTAGCACATGGAGAGTCAAGCCTTCCTGTCATAACCCCATCATGTGACTGTTAAGAGGAACAGGGCAGGCAGTTTGCACAGGGCTTTGAAAGTAAACTGTAACTGAAAAGGGCTTTATCAGTGGAAAATGAGCGACGGCCAGACAGTTTTCGATGTGAAGCCGAAAAACCTGACAGACTATAGGAGAACCCTCCTAACTGCCATTCTTCCACAGCTTTATGGTTCCGTGCTGACAGATCTGCAACAATAAACCTTGAAATGACTAAGCGCTGATCCGGCATTTCTCGCCCGCGGTGACTAAAGTGAACGGGGGAGCTGTCACCGAGGTCGTGGAGTTAGGGAACACAGACAGGAAATGGCTTTCTGGTGACATGGCCAGGCCTTTCCTTATCTCTGTGGCTCAACAGCTCAACTTTTCTAAAGTGTGTATTTGCCTGTAATTCATGTTTACACAATACTGGAATGTAGAGCAGCTCTGAGCTTATTCAGCAGCAGTAACTGGATGAATAATTCAACCTGTCACAGCCAGCAGAAACTGGAAAATGACTGGAGCGAAAATGAATTTGAAGCGATCGGGCCTGGTGTTTTCAAATTGCAAAATAACAGATTTTCAATACGAATCAGTGTTTTGTCTTGTTGAAATGTCTAAACTCAGGACAACATGGTGCCTAAATACCTGAACTTCTAACTGCAGATGTAAATAAACTTCCATGCTCCCTGGTAGTGTCGTTAAAGCAAGAACAGTCCTACACTTTGCACACCACATAACACACAGAGACCATAAACACAGATCTGGATTTAACTGCACCAATAGTGGTGTCGTGACCTCAAGTCAATAATCAGGTTAGTAAGTCAACAGAAAAATACGAAATGAAGCAATCGGTCAATAATCAGTTTAGTTAATCAGCAGAAAAATAAAATCTGTTCCTTTTATGCTAATTAGGGTTCCTTTTTTAGGTTACGTGGTCACATTAAGGAGATTTTCTTCTGTGGCTTTTGGTTGAATACGTGAGCGAGTTCAAGGCAAGTCCACAGGAAGGTTTCACGTTAAACAACTATTAATTTGGAAATTTTTGGCAATTACATATAAAAGGTGAAAGTGACTTCTCAGGTAGAAGATTCCTTTAAAAAAATAAATTAAAAAAAGGCCTTACATTGTATGCTACAGTACAATTTAAATGATAGAGCGTTCTAAACTATGCACTCTACGCAGTGTAGTTTTAGAGGCACCGTTGTTGAATTGAAATTGTCCATCTTATCAAAAGTCCAGCAGTAAGTTGCTGCTTCTGAAGCCTCCAACTCGAGCAACTATTAACAAACAATAAAGATTTGGAAAAAAAAAAAGAACAGGATCAAGTGTGTGCGAGCATTTCTGCAGAAGTACCCATTTGACAATGGCTTTTATTAGGTCACAACACTCCACAGTTGAGCAATCTAGCACAAGACATGGCACGTAGTGATTTTACGACATGTTGTTCAGGAAGCAGAAAACACAATAGGGAACTATTATTTGGATAACAATTTGAATAAAATCGGATTTAGGTCAGTGCATAATAACAAACAAGTCTTTAAAGTGTTTGTTCAAGAGGCCTGTTTTTGCGCGACGGGTGATTTTCTGTCAGCACATTGAGATTTATACTTTAACAGAGTTTGTGTTTGCTAACTTTAAAGGGATTTAAACGCATCTTGGCAAGTAACCAAAAGGAAAAAAGGTTACTTTCATTACTAGTACCACTTATTCACCTCTCAGATTAGGGGATATATAGTTTATTCTACAAGAATCAAACGTTTTTGATCAATTTTATCACAAATTACCAGAACGAAAAGGGTCAGTAGTACAAGAATCAAACATTTGTGTCAAACTTTGAATAAAATTGACTAAAACCAAAAGGGATGGTAGATGCTAGAATTTTTCAATCATAATGATGTAGATGTACACGATTCTTTATTTAATTGCTTTTAGTTATTGGATCCTGAAGAAACGCTCTCTCATCTTGTTTGTACGACTTGTATGTACAGTGAAATTTGATTTAAATTGATAGATCTACAACTGGCATTATTTTTGCTTTTTGATTGCTGATTATCACAACAAGAACTGGTTTATTTTTAAATTAGTGTTTAAGCAACTGACTATCAAATCTATATTTTAAAGTCTCTTTTTTAATCTCTTTAAATTTACTTGCGAGACATTTATGGTGTTGAATATACAGCATTGTTTACGATATCTAAATAGTATGCAATATTTAAATATGCAATCTTAGTTTATGACTCTTTAAGATAAAACTTTATTGACCCCCATAGGGTAAATTCAGGACATGTAAGACTAAATTCAACACTAGTGTACAAAGTGCATTTAAAGGAAAAATCCAACTGAATTTGATCCCAGTGAGAACAAAGTCCAACCTCTATGTGTCTGTAATCTGCTCATATATTGATAGATTTAAATAATCAATCATCTTAAAAGTCTGTGGTGTTGTTTGACAGGCGTGTGATCGATTATCGACATGTTTATGTTGTTTTCAAGGGCTGTTTGTGCCTCAATGTGATGGATTAGCAAGCTGTTTTGATCCAGTTTGACCTGGTAAGATAAACTTCTGGAAGATTTTGCATAACAGGCCATGGTTCGGCTGTGGGAATGTTTATTTTGAGATTTAAACAAAAAAAAAAAACAAGCAAAGTTTGCAGCAGTTCTAATGAGAAGCAGACTGAGCGGTCACATGCCAGTGATTAGCTCAGGTGCTCGGGTCACACGTTATCAGGTAAACAAACCGGACAAAGGAGGCACGACGGGAGGCTGAAATAAACAAGAAAACACACGAGCTTGTCTTACCGGCCGTGTCCCATATTGAGATATTGTAGGGCCCCCACTGTTTGAGGAAAAACGCCCCTCCGACGGTGCTCACGGTCTCCTTGAACTTCCTCTCCATGTACCGGTGGAGCAGCGACGTCTTCCCCACGTTCATGTCCCCCAGGAGGACCAGCTTCACGTCGGGCCTCTTCATCTTGTCGGGCATGACGCTGGTTCTGGTTCCCGCTACTACAGGAGCGGCGTTTTAAATTCTAATTATTATTATTTCTCTTCACCGTAGAGTCCGTCTAGCTCGTAAAAGTCATTTCAGGCTTGTTGGCGAGGTCCTTCGTCAAAACGGCATTTTTGTGAGCGAAAGTTCATTTGCGACACCGTGACTTGGACGTTGGCTCATTCTGGAATCCGCTGGTTAAAGTCTGAACTTCAAAAAGTAACTGAGGTGAATCAGGAAGTGTGAGAAGAGCTGAAGACCACTGGGCTTTTTGTTGCCCTCCGCGCTGCCTGTCAGGATCCTCGGAGCGCTGCAGCCTTCAGACAGGAGACACGGAAAAGTGCTGAGTTCATCAATCCGTTAAAGTGACGACATTTCTAGTCGTTCACACGTCCTCAAATTTATTCATATCCTCCCATTAAAGAAGAGGGGGAAAAACAGCTGTTACTGAAATAAGTTGAACTTGACAAAAGTAAGAATAAATGAATAAAAACAGTAACACTGGAAATCATGACATTGCTTTTGAATTGTGGTTCAACAGATATATACATATACATATACAAATACATATGTGTATGTGTGTGTGTGTGTGTATTGGTATTTTTGATTTTGGTCCACTGCTCATCAGCAAAGTATTTGTTTTGTTTTGTTTTTTTGTTGTTGTTGTTTTTTTTTTTAAATCATTCTTTTCAACCACGATTCAAACGCATTGTCTTATTTCACTAAATTCTAATTTAGCAAATTTTTATTTATTATGACTTTTTTCAGTTTCTAGTTATTTGAGTGATTATTGTGAATTTTGCCTTTTCTTTAATGGAAGAGTATGAATACATTTGAGGATGACGGTAGGACATTTTTCCGGAATGTTCTTTATTCAGACAAACCTCCCACATGCCTGAGAGAGTTGGCAAAAATTAGCATTCACATGATATTAAATAATATGCAAAATTATGTATATTCCATAGCAATGCTCCTCCGCTGACATTTTTAGGAAAAATATCATGTTTTTCATTACTCTTGGTAGTTGTTAATGGTCCTAATTTTTTGAATTTTATGCTATTTTTTTTTATCTTAAACTTTGAGCTTATAACTCATTCTGTTATTTGACTGGTTTTGATCGTATTTTTATTTTATTTTTTGTATTGTTTGGTCTTTTTTCCCTTGCTTTTTGGGTGTGTATGGTTAGAAAAATGTACTTGTAAAATATTGATAAGACAACGCCCTCATGAGTACTGTGTATGTAGAATGGTTGATTGAAGAAACATGAATGAAGAAAACTGGCAAAAATAAAGACAGATATTGAAAAGAAAACACAATGAAAATAGATGTAGTGACAAGCAAATATATGTTTGCTATTATATATAATATAATATCCCAATTATTTGCTGATAGTCCACTTGTATAGTCAAGTTTGGTCATCATTCACTATATAGCACATTTAAAACAACAGATGTTTAGCCAGAGTGCTTTAAAATATAGAAATATAACTGATGTTACAAATTTACCTGACAAATTTAAGTGTTAAGCTTAAGACCCTAAAATATCATTTATCATACAGATTTACATGACTAATTTAAATATTAATGCTAAGACCCTGCAATATTGTTTATTATATAAATACATCTACCTAATTGAAATGTTAAGATTAAGAGACTCAAATATACAGCTGAAACCAGAAGTTGACATAAACTGTATAAAAAGACACAGAACCTTTTATTTCTCACTGTCTGACTTTAAATCAGACTAAATCTTTCCCTATTTTAGGTCAGTTTGGATTGACAAAATTATTTATATTTGCTCAATGCCATAATAATGAGAGAGAGAATTTTTCATTACTTCCTTCAAAGTCAGAGGTTTACATACATTTCCTTAGTATTTGGTAGCATCGCCTTTAAACCATGTGACTTAACACCATGTAGCAACACTGATGTAGTTTTCTTATACTGTCTTATTAGAATTCCAATCTGGGCAGGACAGGAGCAGAATTCTGATCTGGGCCCAGATCAGAATCTGTAGGAACAAAATGAAGATTTCATTCCAGGCAATCTATTCTGGAATTCTCTTCTAATCTATTAAAATCTATTCTAATCTGACCTGATTCCAGATCAGGCCAGATTCCAATAGATTCTGATCTGGGCCCAGATCAGAATCTGTAGGGAAAATAATGAAGATTCCATTCTAGGCCAGCCTAGAATAGAATTCCAATCTGGGCCGGCCCGATTCCGGATCAGGCCAGATTCTAATCTGGGCCTTGACACATTTATACTGAACACACATTTAAACTCATGTATTATTTTATTAAATTCTATCCGTTAAAAAAAAAAAAAAAAAAAAAAAGTATTTGTTGTGCCAACACATAGCATCTCGACAACAGAATAGACGTTTTCAATCAACCAAGTATGCACTACATTGAAAATGATAATGTGCAGATCAAGAGTGGAAGAAAGAAATGATAGGTCAGCAGCAGCACATAGAGGTCATGAGGTTGTCAGTGATGCTTGCAGAGTGTTGTATCACTCTTCCTGAAGGACTTGTTGAAGCTGCTATGGGACATATTGGGGGAGAGGATCACACTGCCAGAGACGTCCATGTGGCAGATCATCTATTGTCCATCACACCATCTGAACCTATTTCTTATCTACAAACAGGGGCGTCGTGGAGATCCAAAAGCCTGGCATCATACTGGCATCCAGTATACCGAAAGCCTGTTCTCGTCATTCTCTTGTCTTCTGTGGTATTGAGTCATTTTAACAAAGCTGCACTTTGAGCTGACCTTTTATAATCACTGGTTGAAGGAGTGTGTGTGTGCTGGTCACTTTATCTCATCGTTGCCCAATAAAGCCTGACCTGGGTGTGGATCAACTCTGGTGGATGATTTGTCAACATTTGAGCAGTTCAAAAACTTTTGGTGCACAATTGGCTAAATTAAACCCTTTGACATGCTGCATTCATAATTTTGTTCAGTTTACACTCTGTGGAATGGGTGTCACAAACCAAAGACACATCAGAACTGTAAGATATGTTTGCATAGTGAAAAAAAAACAAAAAACAAACATGATTACTGACAGGCATGTACATGAAAAAGGAACAAGATTACACCTAGAGGCCAGTGGAAGGACTGCAGCTTTAACGCGCTCCTCTGCTCCAGTGGCTGCAGATTGACCGTTGACACACTTCGTGGTTTTGTTTGGATGTAGGAGTGTCCGAGGCGGCCTTAAAGGCGTCACTGGCTCTTTCTTCCGGGTTTGCGGCGCAGGTTCGGGAGCCTCATGATCAGGACTGTGTGTGTGCGGTTGTCAGCGCTGAAACGCAGCTCCAGTTACGGTAAGAAGGAGCCTCTGTGGTGGGGAAGATCCGTGTGTCTGTGGCCGCGGGCGGAGCAGACAGCAGCATGCCCGAACACATTCAGACATTCGCCTTTTGCTTGATCACAGTCGCTCTGTCGGTTGTCTTCGCGCTGCTGGTGGGTTTGAACGAGAAAGGTAAAGTGGAGGAAGTGTGCTGATATTGTGTTTTTATTGTAAAAACGGTGTTAAATGTAACGTTAGCTACACGGATCAAGCGCTCCGGAGCACCGTCCATGTTGGCCGGGCAGCCGACCGTTAGCCGGGCCTCTAGGACCCCGCAGACACCGAGCACACGGGGCGGAGGACCGGGCGGAGAAAGGTGAAGTTAACCTCAGAGGACTGATCAGAGGTCAGTTTGGAAAATTCCCCCAGCACAGGTGAAGGATGTGGGAGCGGTTTGGGAAGCCGATCCCCGGTCAGTTTATCCCCAGAGCTACGCATTTTGATGCCGACGTTGAAAGGATAAACATAGACGGCTAGGTCTCAGCTAGCATACAGAGAGTTGACCTGTGCACCTCATTGTGATGATCCGCAAGTTTGAGACTGTATTCATCACCCACGTCAGTCCTCTTAGGTTGCCTACATGGCAGTTTGTCTGGGGATAGTGGCTCCCTGCTGGCTTTGATGCAGCTGAACGCTAAAGATCCGGAGCAGACGTCCGTCATAATCCGCAGCGTCAACATCTCAGTCCCGCTGCTCGGGCTGGAGGTTACCGCTGCCGAACCGGCCTGATCGGACCCGCTATGCAAGCGAACACAACGCGGGGCTTCTTGTGGTCGGACGTGGAGACCAGGACCTTGCTGAACATTTGGGGGGAGCAGGACATCCAGACGGCGTTGGATGGAAACTTCAGAAACAGCTTCGTGTACCGCGACGTTTCCCGGCGGCTGGGAGCGATGGGCTTCGAGAGGACGCCGGAGCAGTGCAGGGTGCGGATCAAGAGCCTCAAGAGACAGTACCTGCTCGCCAAGGAGGGCAATCTGCGCAACAACGGCCAGTACCACAAGATCTGTAAGTTTTATGACACCATGGAAAGGATCTTGAGCAACCGGCCGGCTCTGGACCCGCAGGAGTTGATAGACAGCGGGGCGGGAGGAGAGGAGGAGGCCGTGGATGGCCTGGAGGAGGATGGAGAAGATGTCCAGGATGGTTACTCTGAGAGCACAGGGGAGTGTCCTTACCCTGCTGAGACTGAAGTCAAGCTGGAATACCCGACTGTCCCCATCCCCATTCCTGTTAAAGTGACAGTGGGCAATAACAGTAAGTGCACCCTCCTCGCCCTCATTCATTCTGTGTTGTTGGATGCATATGCAGCTGAGGTGCATCACATAATGTGTCACCCTTCTCCCCTTTAGGCGCTTCAGTAAGATCACATAACACCAGCCAGTCAGCTGGTAACTTGTCAGCCAGGACACCCAAGAGGCCCAGGAAGCGGCGTGCCAACTTCCCCATGGAGAAACTCATGGAGCAGTTTCTGGAGCAGAGCGCCCAGGCTGAGGACAGCTTCTACCGGATAGAGGAGCAGCGCTTGCAAGCAGAAGACCGTCGCCGGGAAGCTGAACACGCCAGAGAGCTGCACATGCTGCAGATGCTCGGCCAGATGTTCTCCAGCATCTCCTCTGCCAGGCCCAGCTCTGCAGCCGCCACCTCCAAGGCAGCCGCCCGGCCTCCTGTCATCTCCAGTGCCTCCCCGTCCTGCACACGAGGCCCGTCCACTCACCTCAGGCGGCCTTCGCCCCAGACTGACTGTTTCACCCAACAGAGTCAACTGTTGAACACAGATCCTCAGGCTTTAGGTATTAGTTCCGGTGTCATGAGTGAAGCCTCCAAGTGGAATGATGTGTGAAGGGAAAATGAAAGGCGGATCAGCTGTGACGTGAAGACTCAGTTTCCTTCCATTTTTATCCTCACATTAGTTTGTGTTCTGATTTTTTATTTTGGTTTTTGGTGATCAAAATTTATCCTGTGTCTGACACCGACTCCATAATTGAAAACTGTCACTTTGTCTGTTTCCTCAGTGTTTGAACGCTACTACAGTTCGGGTTCTACATCACACAGAGGCATGGACGAGGACATCCTGTCACTAGTAAAGAGCACAGTTCCTCCACTGACATCCAAAAAGCACAAGGGACAAGATGGACGTATTGGGATCATTGGAGGATGCCAAGAGTATGTCACATTAAAATCAAACCTTTCTCAATTGAATCACTATTCACTAAACAAGGGTTGTGTGTGTGTGTGTGTGGAACATCTGCCCTAATTTATTTCCATCTCCATCCTTTAAAGCTATACTGGAGCTCCATACTTTGCTGCCATCTCCGCATTGAAAGTGGTAAGCGATCGCTCTGGTAATAGATTTTGACCTTTTAGATTTGATGTTTTTGGTTAAAGAACGGCTTCAGGACAGTGTTGGTGACTTTGTCTTGTCTCCAGGGAGCTGACTTGTCTCACGTGTTCTGCACCAAAGACGCTGCGACTGTAATCAAGTCATACAGCCCTGAACTCATAGTTCATCCAGTTCTGTAAGTACAGACTCACTATCTAGCTTCTGTTTTATAGGAAACTAGTCTTCTGTTGTATTTTATTTTTTTAATCTTTCACTAGGCATCATCAGAGTTGTTGTAAATGCATTAAAATGTATAATAAGCCTAAAAGATTGAATTCTAATCCTATATGAGGTCAGGTTTTGTGGTCTACTCATTTTGTATTGACGGCTCCATGTTGCTCTGATCACTTTCTCACTGTGATTTTACAACCAGTGGAGAACCTGACTATAGTTCAACTCCTTGTAAGTTCTATTTTTGCATCATGGAAGATATTAAACCTAGCTATGTGGGTTTTGGTGTCAGACTTAACATAGTTCCTGCTCTGAAAATCCATATTACTGTTGAGTCATATGATGCTACTCAAAGGTGGCACTTGAAGTGAACAAAAAGCCACCACGAAGGCGTTATAGCGAGCCATAAGAGAACTGTTCATCCAGAGAACAACATTTTGATTGCATGACCTTTGATATTGTGACTCATTTTGTTGACATGAGCTCTATAGCTAGAGTAAGTTCATACTGAAGTAGTTATTCGTGGATTTTTTTTCCAACGTCCTCGGCCAAAACTTGAAGTACGTTTTTCCGGACGTGTATTGTCAATACAAAAGTGACAGAACAGATGTTTTATGTTTTTTTCTTGTCACGAACTTGCTGCCTTGTCATGGCAGAAAAGGCACAGGTATCTGTTGATCGTAATATCAGCTGCATTCCATTTAGGTGAGCTACGTCCACGGTCCTGGTGTTGAGCCATTATGAACTTGTTACAGCAGGAGAGCGGCTCAGTTTTATCGTGTGTCTGCACGCTAAGGATCCAGCGTTCTAGGACCCTGAACTTCCACGCATAAACTGAATGCAGATGTTATTAATGAAGTCAATTACATCTGTGCGTTTTCTGCTATGACATGCCACAGTGTCTGCAAACTAAAGCCGTGTTCAGTGGCATTTTTATAACTTGACAACAGCTTCGCTCTGCTAGTTTAGCAGGTACAACTCACCACAATTGAGGGTTATCACATTCAGTTCTTGTTTGAGACGTGTTAAATCAACCGTGACTTCATTTTGGAGGCTGGAGCTTGTGGTGCTGCTGGATTGCATTGCACTCTAACTTTTGCAGCACAACTTTTTGAATTATTTTGTTCAAATAGAGGAGAAACACCTCTCTATTCAACATGCGTACATTCGCAGTGCAACGACATAAACGCCAAAATGATCATAGAGTTGAATCAACACCGACAAAAAAACAATACAAACGAGGTAATATAGCATTCATAAAGGAAGGTTTTATTACAGGACTGTTGTGTTGTACCATATTCATCCTATTTAGTTGTTTCATATGCCTCTAAGAAACAGATGGTCAAACTTTTGTATTTTAAGAATGCCAATACCATATTTCACTAACAGTAACTTGAATGAACTCTCATCCAGATTTTGGCAAATATGCATAAATAGTGTGAAATGGGACATAAAACTAATTGGAGCTACATTCACATGTACAGACCTCATCTTTCACCTATTGGTCTGTGGTTGCCATACATTTGTGTCCAAGACATGAAGAAACAGACATTCAGTTCAGTCCATTCATACATACCTAACACGCGTGTGTGTGTGTGTCTTTATGTGTGTGTATGTCTTTATTTGTGTCTGTGTGTGTATCAAGGGACAGCCCTAATGCAGTGGAAGAAATAGAAAAATGGCTCCCAAGACTGCATGGCCTTGTGGTGGGACCAGGTCTAGGGAGAGAAGATTTGTTACTGAAAACAGCCAAGGCATGTGGAATATATTCACTCTCCCTTGTATATATTCAGTCTTTTAGGCCACGTATTTGTACACAAACACAAAACTGTGCTAGTCACATTTTCCACATTTGATACACTGATGAGTCTAAGCTTCACGTGCTTGTGGATCCCTGCCACAAGCTCTTAAAGACACAACTTCTGTAAATGTTTACCAGTCCTATAGATCTGAAACCGTGTCAAAGACATAAGAGACTGATTGCATACTGTTGATTCCAACTTAGTCTGACAGAAGTATGTGCAAATGGCACCGTAGGAAACGTTTTGAGCTTTGAGTAAGAATAAAATGAGACAACTAACACTAGAATATGTGTTGGGCAAATAGCAGAGTTGCAGAGGTCAAACTGTAACCCAAATAGGTGTACGTATGTGCATATAATTGAAGTGCAGCCTAAAGTGAACTCTACAGTATGTTTGAGAGGCCATCATCACCTTGATATGCATTTTTCTGTGACTGGCATTAAATATATTACATTATGTCAAGATAAGACTGTGCTCTCTCTCTTAGGAGGTGATTGAGAAGTCCAAAGCAAGAGACATCCCCATCGTCATTGATGCAGTAAGTCTTGATAAAATCAAGATCCAGCTGTTGACCCAGACGGACCTTTCTTTGTACACTCATACAGTGTTTGTGTGTTGTTTGGTTGTTTTCTATAGGATGGATTATGGCTAGTTACACAGCAGCCATCTGTTATTCAAGGGTACCAGAAGGGTATCCTTACACCCAACTTCATGGAGTTCACCCGACTATATGAGGCACTGGTGGGTCTCTTGGAAGAGTTCAGTTAGTCTCCAAATGACGCCCTAAGAAATCTGATTCTGTGTGCTAATGTGTGTGTTTTCATGTTGTTGTCTCAGCACCATGAGCCCATGGACAGCAATGATTACCAACGCAGCGTCTTGCAGCTCAGCGTAGCGATGGGCAACCTCACTCTGGTGCTAAAGGGAGAACAGGATCTCATTACAGACGGCAATAAGGGTTGGTGTCACGCACAACTTTATGATACTTGTGTTGAACTGTGCCAGCTGACCTTTTACATTGGTGGGAATCACTGCTCATATATTTATATGTGACCTTAATGTGTTGTACTATTGTTTATAGTGTACTCGTGCAATTTGGAGGGCAGCGGGAGAAGATGTGGTGGACAGGGGGATCTTCTCTCTGGATCTATGGGAGTGCTGGCACACTGGGCCCATGCTGCTTCTACAGCAGGAATGATCAGAAGGTAGAGACGCCATTGGCTGTTTGTGCATTGTGGTTTGATTGTGATATAAACCAGGCTATCAACACATAAAATTTAAGATATTTTTAACACTTCAATTTAATGTTTTACGCTGAAGGATGATCTGATCTACAATTATTTATTATGTACATGTGATTACATATTTACATTGTAGTAGTAACTGCAGTATGTAGTAGTTGTAGCAGTGTAAATATCAAACAACATGACCTAGACACAGGATGTAACTGAGAATAAATGGAAAAATGTGTAATTAATTAAAGGTTTTTAATTAAATGTAGCTCATTCTGAGTTGATGAGCTTCTGCAGCTAACAGTAGTGACCGTAAATTCTGCATGTCTGATGGTGCCGACTAGAAAAACAGGACTGAACAGCCTCCTGTACAATGCACTTTTGTTTCAACAGTATTTTGCATCCTGGTTTTAGTTTAACAGGTCTACAGTGTCTCCTGACAGACCGCAGTCACATACAGAAACATTTAGAGCTGACGTTAGCGTCTACAGCAGCCAAGAGACAAGATTTATTTATTTTTTATTACATTACTTGGATACTTTTTAACTTGCTAAAATATTTTTTAGGGCTTTTTAAGACCACCAGATGTGCAATATGAAGCACTTTTATAGCGACACAGCAGCGTTTTCATATGTTTAAGTACATTTCCAACAAACACTTAATCTTATCATAATGTGAGTCATTTTCCAATCATGTTCTGAAAGTGTTGGGTTGGTTTTATACCTTCACACAATCATTGGTCTCCATTTATTCCAGCTTGGTACAAAAATCTAATCGCAGGGTGTTGAAGCTTCCTTGACTTAAGTCGTTTGCCTTTTTTGTTAATCTCTAATGGAGTTAAAATGTTTAATCAAATCTATGCTGAATCAATCAACATAAAATTAATCAAGAAAATACCTTGATAATAAAGAAGTTATTTCATTTCAGTAAATTATTTGTCAAGCAGAAATGCCAAAAATGACATACACTGAACAAAAATATAAACGCAACACTTTAGTTTTTGCTCCCATTTTTCATGAGCTGAAATCAAAGATCTAAGATTTTTTCTATGTACACAAAAGGCCTATTTCTCTCAAATATCGTTCACAAATGTGTCTAAATCCGTGTTACTGAGCACTTCTCCTTTGCCGAGATAATCAGCCAAATTCTCTGAAACGCCTTTGGAGACGGCTTATGGTAGAGAAATGAACATTGAATTCACGGGCAGCAGCTCTGGTGGACATTCCTGCAGTCAGTCAAACTGCACGCTCCTTCAAAACTTGCGACATCTGTGGAATTGTACTGTGTGATAAAACTGCATATTTTAGAGTGGCCTGTTATTGTGGCCAGCATAAGGCACACCTGTGCAATAATCATGCTGACTAATCAGCATCCTGATATGCCACACCTGTGAGGTGGATGGAGAAGTGCTCAGTAACACAGGTTAAGACACATTTGTGAACAATATTTGAGAGAAATAGGCCTTTTGTGTACATAGAAAAAGTCTCAGATCTTTGAGTTCAGCTCATGAAAAATGGGAGCTAAAACTAAAGTGTTGCGTTTATATTTTTGTTCAGTGTAGTTTCAGGTTCTTAGTCATGAGGATTTGATGCTTTTCTTTGTCTTGTGTGATGCATGCAAAAATGCCAGTGTAGTGTAATATTGCACTAAAGGAAACTGATAAATTGTACATATTATGCATGTCTCTATGCTTCCTAACGCCCTACGTTTGTCCTCCTTCAGTATGAATCCATCGGTGGTCGCAGCGTTCGGGGCCTGTTCCCTCACCAGACAGTGCAACAGTCAGGCGTTCCAGAGGCATGGCAGGTCCACCACCACCACAGACATGATCCAGGAGATCGGCTCAGCCTTCAAAAGGCTATTCGAAAGCTGAAAACAGTCAACAACCTGAATTGTTGCATAGAGCTGCATATGCCTAAATTTGAATTCTTAGCGTAGCCTTTTGGGTGGGCTTGAGGAACGTGGTCGCGTCAGTCTGAATCTGAATGAAGGCTTCGGCCTGGACTGTCCCTTCAAAAAAAAAAAATTAAGAAAGCTGTAAATGTGGCACAAAAAATACACACAGACGTGCTGATTGATGTGTATCAAATGAAAAGCTTGGGAAATAATCATTAGACCAGAGTAAGCACTGTTTTCTGCCTCTTCCTTTGCGGTTCTTGGTGGATCTACACTACACTTTCTATGTTATAGCCATCTTCATTAACCATCGAGATCCCCGTCATCTTGTCATTTATGGGATTGTTGAGACATAAAACATTTTGGATTATCTGTTGACTTTACATATACAGTTTATGCACAAAATAATGGTGACTCAGAAAAAAAGTTTTTGGTCATCTAGTGTAAATGTTGACATTTCTACAGTTTCAATACTTTATATTTTAAGACATAATTTATTACAAGATGCAAAACATACTGCAGTTATTTAACCACTGTCGTAAAATTCCCCAACCTGTCATGTGGGACTTTGTAAAAGCAGATGGTCTGATCATTATTTCCAAAGCTGTGTAAAGAAAAGCAACAAAGCAGCATTACAGCTCAGTTAGTGCCATGAGTCACCAAACATGAGGTAGCCAGAGTGTTCACAGCCCACCAAAGAGATGGAGAGATACATGGAGTCACAGTGAACCTGTCTGAATTTTGAAATAAAGAATAAATGAAATTTTGTGTGAGTGACTTTTTGACAAAGTTCTTGAAAGCAGTCATGGTAGTACATCTGTGTAGCCTCTGGATGGCAATATTGATTATTAGTAGGGAAACGCTACAGCCACGTTTGTTACTGAAGTCAGTGAGACACAACGTGCCAAACAACAGGGATTCCTGCTCGTGTATCCCGGCTTGGTAGTAGTAAAACTAACTTATTTCAAAATTAATTCAGAAAGTCGTCAAAGAGGGAGAGTGTGTGATTCGTGTAGTCTGTAACTGTGGTTACTACTCCTGCACATGCGCATAGCTGAAAATATTTAGTCAGGCACTTTAGCCAACAGCTAACGTTAGCCGCTTGTGGGCTACACTGTAGTTACACACAGCCTAGCGTTAGCAACGTAGTCCATGGTTAGCAACAGGAGCAACAAAAGCATCGCGGAGTGTTAAAGGTCAGCTAAAGAAGAAAAAAGCTAATATCTACAGGTAAGCTCTCCTGCTAAACCCTCACATAACAGCTACATACGTGTAGCATGTTAGCCGGTGTTTGTTACGTACTAGGAGATGCCGCGGTTCGTTTAGTAACGTTGTAAGCTAACACGCTAATTTAGCTAACTGTTACATTTGAAGAAAATGTGATAAAACCAGTCAAAGCGTCCGAATGATTCAGACCTATGCACTTTGTTTATGTAAGGTTGTAATATAAAATGTTGATAATGTGTTTGACGTTACGTTTTGTGTGACTGGAGTGGCTGTTTCTCTAAGTGTGGAATATTTTTGGTGTTTGTCACATTAAGGTGTCGTTTTCATAAACCTCTTGCGTTGTCTGACAGCGATTAAAGGTAGTTAAAGCCACAAATTCGTATCACATTTCAATGCGTGGTCTGTGTGGAGTAAACAGCCAGTCTTAAACTTGCAAAGAGGGAAAAGTTGCTTAACGTTACTTTACGTTAACGTAAACTCCCCGAGCAGGGAACGTTAGCTGTAGTTAGCGTTGGCTAATGTTGATCTGAGCATCTCTGCTGTTGTTGGTGGAAATGTTCAGTCTGAGCAGCGAACTTGTTGTTTGTTTCGAGGTAGCATGTCCGTTTATGATTCACCGACATCTCCAGTAACAATAGACTTCTCCGGGAAATGTAGCTAGCTAACATTACTAGCTAACGTCACTGTTTTCTCCGTTTGTGCGGAGAAGAGCTCGCTGCACCTCCCGTCGTCCACTTTATGTCCTTTGTTATCTGCCTTGTGCTTTTCTTTAGCTGAGTTGTTATTTGGAAGACTTCGTATTTGTTAACAATCTGTTGGCAGATTCTTGGTACACGTAGCAATTTCAGGATGGCTGACTGCAGATCAGCAGCCCCCTCCCCCTTTCACATTACAGTCTTATTTTTCCGAACGGATTTCACATGATCCGTGTTGGGAAGGCATTATAACAACACTATTGAATATGTGCGATGATGTGCATTTACATGTTAATCTGAAAACTATGTTGCAAAGAAGTAATAGTTGCCATGGGAACACGTATTTATTTGCAAGCGTGTACAGTATAGCTTTACAGCAGCAGTGAAGATGTTAATAGTGATTTGTTGTTAACAGGTGCAGGTGGAGGACTGTCCTGGGGGTAAAGACGGATCCACGATGTTGAACCCGACCAATGGTGACCCAGGTCACGTTGTTGTGAATTATGTGGAGGAGTATTTGGATCTGGTGGAGTCTCTTCCCTTTGATTTGCAGAGGAGCGTGTCCCTCATGAAGGAAATTGATGCCAAGTATCAAGGTGAAGAAGCCAGATAGTGTGGATTACACCGCTGTTTACATGTCTCTGTCACATCTTTCTGCTTTAGTCATACTGTAATACCAAGCATAATTTAGGAATACAAATAAGTACAAATCTCTTAGTTAAATTATGTCATGTAGATAATATTTCTTGGAAAGTTTTATTGAAGTAAACTGTAATCAGAAAGAATTCTAAAGACTTTATTTAATAATGAATTGTAGTACAGCCAAATGACAATTGACTAATTACTGCTTTGCTCTTATATGGTTTAATTTATGTTCCACGTGAACAAATATGTAAAGTAAACCTACCTGACACATGATATGTAAACGTCAGTAGCACATAAACTGCAAACAATTGCTTTTGTATTTACTGTGTAAAAAACAAGCTACCAGCCAACCATAGATAAACTATGTAATGTATTTTAGATCTGCAGCTGTAATTTACAATTCATTACTAATATCTGCGCCTACGACTCTTAAGCTCTCTCTGTAAATGTGTTGTAACAGCTACCACTTTGTTTTCTCAGCCATGTCATAACCGAATCCAAGTGGTTCTTGTATTAACCACATGTTTTACATGATGAACAAGCAGGAGGCATCATTAGTATTTGTTGAAACCCGTCTGAAGTGACAGATTTGATTGCAGATGCATGTTTGGTAACTATACCGAAAACTTCAGTGTCAACCCAATAATGAAGGCCAACTCACAAGTCTTAAGACAACTACTTAGCTAAAATATACCCAGTTAAATACATGAGCCATGCAATATATCCTACCTCTGACCCTTTCAATCAAACGGACGCCATGCTGTCGTTTTGGTCATATTTTGTTCACTTACATGTAACAGTGAGGGTAGATGGAATTTCTATAAACACATCTCAGTTTAAATACACTCAGCACAGATGCTGCTGCACTCTTCAGAACAAACATTTTAACCAATATTATGATTGTATTTTTTTTGAGTGTACCTGTTAAACTGGGAACTGTTACATAACAGTAACATACCAAGTCTGCATGATGCCACAATTATTTATACGCTGCACTTGGCAGACATACAGTCGTTTATAGGCGACGGAGATTGTGTCTAAGCCCCGTTGCACTCTCCTCACTCAGTATTCACCAAAGCTTCAGAAAGCAGCCACCACACCACAGTCAAGACTAATAATATGCTAAACGTTGTACTTACTTTTATCTGTTCCTTTTTAAGCATATGTAGAATTTCCATTTTCTCATTTTCTCAATCCTTTTTTGGCAGATGTTCTGAAGGAGCTCGATGACGCTTATGAACGGTATCGCCGTGAATCTGACTCACTTCAGAGGCGCAAGCTTCAGTTATCAATTCAAAGGGCGCTTATCCGCAGCCAAGAACTTGGAGACGAAAAGATTCAGATTGCTGGTCAAATGGTACGTAAAGAACGCCTTTCAGCTGCTCCAGTAGAGCTGATCGTTGGCAAACTGATGAGGGTAAATTATGGCTTTCTTTTACGATTTGTATCAGAAAATCTACCGTCAGTAAATTAAAACAAGTGTTTTATATGGTGTAGTGGGTTTCACATTTATATTTACATTTCATTAGAATCAACATTAAAAAAAAAGATGTCAGTGAAGATTTACAGGACTTCAGTAGTAAACACGAAATGAGCTTATAGATGTACACTGGCTGGATGCCAGAAGCAGAACACTATATTTAACCTTAGTGTTTGACATATGTTCAGTATGTCAAAGTTGAATCAGGCTGTGTCTGTTATGCAACAGATATTAACAGTAGATAGTCTTGGTAACAATTTAAATTCAAACATTCACCTCAGTTATTTAATTTTTAAAAACATTTTTTTAGGCATTTGCATTTATTTAGGTGATGCGTTAGAGAAAGGCAGGAATCGGGTAAAGACAGCAGGGAAATGACATGCAGCCAAATCTGTGCAGCCGACCGACCATCAAACTATAGGCTCGGCTGCTATGAGCATTGTAGTCCATTTGTTATGTGCAAAACAATAAAATGGGGTTATCCCATTATAAAGCTGTGTTGACAGACCTCTAGATGTCAGCAAAGCCTAAAGTGTTGGATAAACAAGAACCATGTAGCCAAGTGAATTAAGCAAGGAATCCAAATGCATGGTTAAAAAAAACAAAAAAACAATAAATAACAAAAGTAATAAAATCTTACATTGCCAAAGTTTAGTTTTAGTCTTTAAAAAAAAACAAAACAGTCCCATTTATATGAGAACACTTTGCAAACATCAAGTTATCTACATGTACAGCTATGAAAAGCAGACAGACCTTCGTAATCAAATGTGTGTGTTCTTCGTTTTAGGTGGAGTTGGTTGAGAACCGGACACGACAAATAGACTGGCATTCTGAACTTCTCCTTTCCTCTCAAGAAGTCCCAGAAAGTCACGTTCCCACAGCAACGTCTATGACAACCACGACAACATCCTTGATGTCCTCTTCTTCAGCTACAGTCACTCCAGGAAAACCGGGCCACCATGACAAGAAACGTGACGAGGTTACCCCGGGCTCAGGTGGAGGGGACAAGGCTGGAGGGAAACGCTCAAGACGTCAGAAAAACGGAGAAAATCGGGAAAGCTACGGGGGTTTGGATCACGCCGAGGAAGTGGGTGTGGGAGCATCACGAGAAAAGAGAGCTAAAACGTCTTCCAAGAAGAAGAAACGGTCAAAAGGAAAGTCTGAGAGAGAAGTGTCGCCTCCAGACCTGCCCATCGATCCAGACGAGCCAACGTACTGCCTGTGCGAGCAGGTGTCCTACGGCGAGATGATTGGCTGCGATAACGACGAATGTCCCATTGAGTGGTTTCATTTCTCCTGTGTTGGGCTCCATCATAAGCCCAAAGGCAAGTGGTACTGCCCCAAGTGTAGAGGTGAGAATGAGAAGACCATGGACAAGGCCTTGGAGAGGGCGAAGAAGGAGAGGGCCTACAACAGGTAGCTCGCTCTGCCCGGCCCAATGAACACTGTTGTGTCAAAATTTAATTTTATCTGTTTTTGTTTCCATTTACAGTTAACACTGTTTTAAGAAAAGAATATTGAATTCATGAGAGGGATCTTGTAAATAGTTATTTTTGTAACTGCTGCATAGCTGAGAAACAAGATTGTCCCCTCAAGCTTGGGAGTATTTGTAAACAATAGACGTAGTACAGAACCGGACCATGTGCATGTTTTGAACCAGCTGTTGTGCACCCACATCCCTCTTTGTTTTCATCATGCATGCAACGTCCCCCGCCCAATTATATATGCTCAATTAACAAATAAAACATTTCTAAACTAAGAGGAATTTTATGATCTGTAACAACATACACGCTTGTTATTACTGTATATGAGCAGATTTCTGGCTTTAGTTAAGCATCGTTTGCATCATCCCTGATCAGTGAAGCCTGACTTATACAAATATTCCATAAAATGGGACCAACTGCATTTTAGTGGAAGTACTGTACACGCCAGGGTCATGTGTTTTCAGGTGTGTCTTACTCAATCACTCACATGGTCATGTGAACATTGAAAAGGTTATTGATCGCTGCAACTGTTAACACTGGCCACGACAGGAGTCTTTGCTAAAGTGAGGTCAGTGTTTGTAATGTGGGACAAAGTTCTTGCTCTGTACTGACTTTTAAAGTTCAGCAGAGACTAATGTGAGGCTTCAGAAGTTACACAATTCAGATTTCTGGTTTTTGTCTTTTAGTGTGAAGTTTTGTCTTTTACTGGACAGCGTTTGCTTGCTGGGCTGCAGTGGAGTGATCATGATGGAGCAACCTTTGACTTTAACTCAGACTGCGAAAGCTCGTTAGTATTTGCTGAATTTCAAAATGCATTTTTACTCATTGGATTATATCCTCCATCGCTTATATTGAAATCGATTTATGAAGAGATCCTTTGTGGTAAGTGTGGTGGCAGTTAGATGCAAACATAAACTGACAGCTATCAAACAGTAATACATTTGCAGATATAATTAACAACAACAAAAAACTTCCCACACAAGGATGAATTTGCCTGTTTTTGGTTTTTTTTTTATTTACAAGTACTGGAAAAAGTGACATGGGGGGGACAACCAGTGCAAAATCTGTACATAATTTCAGTTGCAGGTTTCTTTATATACACTAGAACTGAACAGGATCGTGAATACACTCTGTCATGCATGTAACAGTTCACAACACAGCAAAAGACGTGGTGTAAAGATGTCTGATTTACTTGTAGTCCGTGATGCTCAGGCTGCTCATTATCCCGCTGTCTTGTGAAAACAAACTGACATAACAGATCAGGCGCACAACAGAAAGGACCCATGACTTCACTGATGCAACCTCGGAGACATTTAACATAATTAGTCATGGGAAATTGTTACAGCAAGTTAGAACACATCAGAATATTTGGGTAATGGCCCTCAAGTCCATACTGACAAAACATCAAGGCAAGATTCAGCACATTTCCCCTGATGAAGTGGAAAAGGGAATAGAAAAAATAAACCCCTCTTGGCGGGCAAGAAAAAAAAAAAACATTCTATGAAGGGAAGTTGAAGGTAAAGTGCATAAAAGCTTAAAATTAAAAAGGTGGTGGTGGTGATGGGGGGAGGGGCCCAAAAATTAAGAGGTACTCCACTAAAACTTGCAGCACACACAGCTTAACAATGGAGAGAGCAGCTATCAGGATTGTCAGGTCAACTGTCCCTCCAGCTTTGTTCTACGATGGCAGACACTCGCTTCTCGTACTCCCGTTTGTTCTCCTGGTACAGCTGAGCTGCCTGACTGTTGGCTGGACTGTTGGGGTTTGGTTCATCAAGCAGGGACTGGTGGGAAAAAAAAAAGATTTATACTGAAGGTGAGAATGTCCGTCCATCCATCCATCCATCCATTATCTATACACCACTTAATCCTCACTAGGGTCGTGGGTTGGCTGGAGCCTATCCCAGCTGACTTAGGGCGAGGGCAGGGGACACCCTGGACAGGTCAGGTGAGAATGTTTTGGTGGAAAATAACCAACCAGCATCAAGCTATTTATCTACTTAGTCCTTCGAATGAAAATCTTCAGACCGTCATCTGTTTTCAAAGACATCCCTTCTAACCGAGGCACTGGGTTTGTTGCGCAATAACACCAGCATTTTGTAATTTGTCATCTGACTTTAGCCATCAACTAAATATTTGACCTTTTACATATAATTTACATTTTTTGACTAAATCAACATTGTTATTACTACTAAATGAACAAGATCTACAACTATATGTGAAAAAGATGCACAAAAAAAGGTGATTTATCTTAATTTTACACCTTAATGGAGCCTCAGTAGTAAACTAATCAATTAGTTGCCTGACAGAACATTATTATTAGGTTTCTTTTTCTATATCCAGCTTCTCAAATGTTATCTTGTCTCTAATCTTTTTTGATTGTTGACTTAATATACTTATTTGAACTGTTGGTTTTACTGAATAAGATGTTTTTCAATCTTAATATACCAAACAATTGATAGATTAATCAATAAATTCATTGGCAGATCATTCAAAATAATGGTTAGTTGCAGCCCATCACCTTGGCATCGAGGTAAAAGTCTCACTGTAAAAGCTTGGGCTTACTGACATTTTCACTTGTCAGAAGAAACAAGTTTGTACAATTTCAAATCGAAACGATTCAGTCATTTGGAAATTTGTTGTCAGCAGAGATTTTAAGTAACGTTGTTATTTCTATATTTAGTTTATAAAACACAAACGTAACAAGACCTGTGCTAGTTACAGCCTCTCAACCAGAGGGCAGGATTTGTTTACGTTGTAAGTAAACAGCTTTTCTATTTTTGGTTGGGAAAAAGTAAACGAAGGCTTGGCCACACTCATATAAATCTATTTCTGCACTGTTGTATGTTGACGTTTCTTACCTGGATAGATGTAAGAATAGAGGAGACATCGTAGGTGGGACTCCAACGATTCTGTAGGATGTCTAGACATATACTGCCATCTGCATAGACTGTAGAATAGAAACACAGTTATACGCTGCCCACGAGTATCACCAGCGTTACAATGCGACCACAGGTGACGGCATTCCTACCATTTGGATGAAACATCTTTGACACAAATCGTACTGTGGGGGGTTTGTTGGGGTATTCTTCTGTGAATTCTACAATGAGTTTAAATGTACCTGTGACAAAGACAAGAAAAACAAAACAGATTAATGACACATGTAACCTGACTGTGTGTTCGTGGTGAGGAAGGCAGTAAAAATGTGGGAGCAGTGACTTGTTCTAACTTGAGCATAAGACTTGATCTGTCAATAAGAAAAAATTTAAGGGTTGTATATTACAGGTTTTACAACTGCAGTATAGCTAATAAAATTTAACAAAGGTGAAAATGACTGTATGCAGGGAGGTAGTCATACTTAAGTATGCTTTGATTTACAGCACTTGCGTGACATAACATGGGAGGTATAACAAGTTTTATAGTGATTTTCAATTGATGCACTACAATTACACTTGAACATCGCATCTCAGTAAAAACAAATCAATAACAATTGTTTTAGCAACTCGTCTCTATTTTTAAAAACTCTAATGGTGGGGTTATATTTGGTACAGTTGCTAAGGTTGAGCTGTTTTACATGCAATAGATCCTTAACGCACAAAATAATACGTTAAGAACATGATGGGAAACTTACCATCCTCGAAGGGGGTTCCCTCAGGGCTGTGAGGTTAGAAAAAGAGAAAAAAAGGGTATTTTGTTAGTCATTTCGCACAGAATGTGTTTATTAGAGCTTCACTTTGTAAAGGTAGATCAGTTTCTTACCCAAATATGACAGCATTCCACACCATGATGTTGTTTTCAGATGGGGCACCGCTCACACCAGCTGGAGGATCCTCTTGTAGCCTTCAGGACCAAAAGGGAAAAAGCAAAAAAGTTACAGTGGGACCTTGATATTTTTTTCAGTCAGTACAAAGACAGGTGGTTCTCATACTTAAATAAACATAACTCTACCTGGAAACATGGCTGGTGACCTGAAAGATGACTTTAGGCTATGCCACCAGAAAAACCCTTGTCATGCTCAGTTAACCCTGATGATTTGTAATCTTGCCACAAAATGCAAATCAGCATTTTTCTTTGGAAATACTGATTAGACCACTGTGACCACTGGTTTCTGCCTTCTCCGTTGTGGTTCTCTGCATTTTCTTCTTGAGGTTGTTATCGGTGCCGTTTTGCTGATTCAAAGTTGGTCAGCAATCTCTCTTACTGCGTTCTGCTTTGTCAAGAACCGACATGGTTGTTCTTCTGTGATCACTTCTTTACAGGATTGCTGAGTGGTCATTTACTTTGGATTATATTTTGACTTTACAAATACAGCTTATGCACAAAATAATAGTCTCTCCAAAAAACGTTGGCCACCTAGTGTGAATTGACAATTTTACAATATTAATACAGCATATTTTTAAGCAGAATTAATTGTATATGTTGGAATTTTACAGAAGTTTGTTCATGTCTTTTAAAAGACAATGTTGTAATTGAATTACTAACATAAAATTTGAACAAAACTGTCGGTGCTGAAGGCCTGCTGTGTGGACTTTAAAGAAAACAACAAGAGGTCTAATAATTACTTCCAAAGCCCTATATAAATGATCTCAATAGCAACTAAACAGCTATCTGAATAAATCAATCAAGTCCAGGAGAGACCCTCACTTTGAGCCAGCTTACAGCCCTAGATAACTCTGAATATTGATCATATAATTTGTTGAGACCCTTTCCAAAAGGCCTTCAGACCCATTATCCATTTCAATGTAAGCTGGCTCAGCTGTTGCCCAACTTAGTCTGTTTCACAAGGTCTCCGGTCAACACTGGTGAAGTTTCACCAGTTTCTCATAGTCCTCCTGAGCTGCAAGTTGCAATCATCTTTACTCCACGGGTTGAGACTAAAAACTGGATTTCTGTAGTCAGTGCCAGAGGCAGTGTCTGTCTCATATTCAAACATATCTCCACCTGGAAACATACTAAACCAGAGTTTATGTCTACAGAAAACCAGGCCACTCCCAACACCCGGAGAGACCTGTTCAAATTCCTGAAGCTCAAATCAGTCCTGTAAGAACTTTAAACAATCTGTCCAATCAGAAAACCTGAGGCTGGTGTAATGTACAGTGAGCTGTAAACATGTTAATGGCCCTCAGGTAGGCAGCTTCAACGGAGGGATGTATTTACTCACATTTGCATGCAGCGAAGCTCGCTTTAAACAAAGAAACGACCCATTTCAGTGAACAAAGTGTTCTGTTGCTGTTAGAAGAACAAGCCAGTCTGATGCTGACTTCACAAAATGCAGCCACCGACCACATATTGTGGCTTCCGCTAATTATTCTCACCGTTGACGCGATGTATTCTTCGGGGATTTCAGGGTGATAACACCGCTCAGTGATGTTAAATGACGCCACGATTCTTTATCCAACATCCACCAAACTTTAATTAGTTTACAACCGAAAAGAATTCAAATAGTTCATGTTGATTGGCGATGCTATTTAATCGACTAATAAGGTCAGAAACGTCGCAACAAACGTGATTTGTCCATGACTTAACCTGCCATCTGGCCACTTCTCACGGACATTTAAATGCTAGTTGGTCTATAGAGTTAGCAGGCAGCCTTTAAGTGTCCGTACATGTAGCAGTCTAGCACTGCTAACATGTAGCTATGTTAGCTTCTCGGTACAGGCGAAGCGCCTTTAAAATATTAACGATACTTAACCTAAATGATTCAGGTTCACAGAAACACAAGATAAGCTACATTGGTTGCGTTACGGTTGTGTTTTACTCTAGAGACGAGCAAATCAATTAGGCTAACATTAAATATTACTGGTTAGCTATCCGAAGCTAACGTAAGCTATGCTAATGTTAGCTGTTTTGACAAATCATCGCTAACCAGCGTTATCGGCATAATTTCTGATCATCAACTCACCGTTTAAAATCTCTCATAAGTCTTCTTCTAGCCGGGGTTGACATGGCTTAACTTGTAAATATAGGTACTGACAATACCTACACGTTGGCAGGAGCTTATTTGATCGAAACGTTATTTTGAATTCAATGGTTATTTGACAACTTCCCTATAACCCTGCTGACGGGAGCCCGACTCTTTCCGTCGTTCTCTCGATAACCCTCTGGTTAGCCTAGATAGGTTTACAGGACGATACCACATCATAGAGGGAGGGGGGAGACAAATGAAGGTGCTGGATCAAACACTATTTTCTGGTTTAGAAATATAAGTAGACATACGCTGTCATTTATAAACCGTCTACCCGAAATATCTAATTACATTTCAGCGAGATGGGTTCATATAATACGATATTTTAGTTAATATGATTTGTGCGTCCCCCCCATTCCGTTTGAGCGCGTCGTCTGCCGCGGGGCGTGGCCACAGTGACGTGGTGTTTGTGCAGCGCGGCTCTGATGAAGGTCGGCCCTGGTGACAGGTGTGCCCCAACACGTGAGGCTGCAGTGGGGCACATTTAGAGCAGTATCCTGGATAAAACGAGCTCACCAACAGTGTGATGAATGCATACACCCTAAATATTACATTTCATGAGCTCACTATAGGAAAATAAATAAATACATAAATAAATAAATAGTGCAATCTAATACATGAAGCAGAGGAAGTTTATGACTTGAGGTTTGAAAGCATACCTGCCTCACATGCTGTCCTTACGAAGATATTTATTTTACAAGTTATCCAGACACGTGAAGCAGTCCAAAAATAAACTGGAGGGGAAAAAAAATCAAACTGTAACTCTTGCAAAACCTTTTCTTTAATTAATAATGAGTTACATTGGATGAATTAGCACTGGTTTCATTAACATCAAGTTGAGACAGAAACAAAATTGAAGTACTGGCAGTGGTTCAACACTGATGCTTACTTGTAGTGTATTTCAGTTTTTGCATTTTAATCAAACTGTAATATCAAGCTAAACAAACACTTTCTCCGTAACAGTACAAACAAAAATCCACTTTTTACTCAGTTACAAATCTCAGATCCATCCACAACAATGGGTCTGCTGTTTTCAACAAATAAATTCAATGAACTGGACCACTCAGTGGCTTTAAGGCGAATGAATGCTTAATTAGGCTTACATGTAATTTAGGCAAAAAGGACAGGCTGTCAGCTGGATCCTTTGAAATTTTAAGAACCGTGATAAAGAAGCATGGTGCTGAAGAGGGTATGGTCATACAACTGCTCTGCTTTCACAGACTTCTGGTGCTCCACCTGGCTGCCTGCAGTGCTATTGATCTCAGGTGAATCACTGTAGACGTGCTGGCCGAAGAGGATTTCTGCTGCAGGGTCACTTGAGGAAAAAGCCTCACAGTGTCTGTCACCTGCCAGTGTAAATGAAAGAAATAGTCAAATTGCATGTATATCAATAGGTTTTGATCATATTCCTGCTTCTAATAATATAACAAGTGAGGCAGGAAAAAAAACAAAAAACACAGGATTGATTTTGTTTTGCACAACTACTAAAAGCAGGCGAACTACACAAATGTTTAGTATTGAATGCATTTTGTCCCACTAAAAGATTAGTTCGATAACCCCTTTGGATTAGAAACAAAAAATGATCAATAAATTGTGAAATTTATTCCAGAGCCTTATGCAACCTCGCAAGTGTTGACCTGAGACCTTGTTTTAAGTGGGTCACATCCTGATTCGCGCTAGTTCTGACATACAGTTTGCGTTGTATGACACAGTGACCTAGTTCTGTTGCATTTGTCTAGAAAACCTTAAGTCGTCCAGACCCTATAACGTAATCCAACACCCAAGATAATGAGAAAAGGAGATTAAAATGGGGGAAGTCCAGTATAGTCAAACTATGCTAAAGTTTATAAGCCTTCATTTTGCATTTGTGTGAAACTTGTAGCTTTTTTCAAAAATCCATTTTTGCAAGACAACAAAATGGACAGAAACTGACAAATACATCCAGAAAGAAAACAAAGGCCACCACAATCACGTTTATAAAATTTATCGACATTTAATGATTTCACACAGTCAAGTACAAAGCTAAACCTGCTCAGTACTAAGCACTGGATGCTCCAAATTGAAAGACTACACACTCAAACCTGCTGCCATGTAAAACAAAATAAACAGAAACCACCTTCAACATTTAACAGTACTACAAAATACAGAAAGTAGAATATTTCCCAATATCTATAAAAGTTGGAAATAATGTACATTAAGTTATTGTTTAACTACTCAAGGAATAAGGCTTTTTGCAGTGTGGAAATCCATGCAAACTCTCTTGAGCAGTACTGCTTATACACAGCTACTGATTGTAAAATGGCCAATTATTAATTTCAAAATCATACTGGGTAATATATGTAGCATATACATGTGCAAGCCCTGCTAGTTGCCTAAAAAAAAAACTTGCTAACGCGCACACAGTAAACATTCACCATACTTCTGACCAAATAAACACAAAGGAAAAACAGAGCAATAACCAAACCCAAAGCTCATGGACCACTATTTCTTAGTACAGAACATCTACAAACTATGAGAAAGCTGCACAGTGAGTCATTTATACTTTGCAAGCTACATTCATGTTGGGATATGCTTTGGCATAAAGTCATTCTTGAATAAAAAACAGCTTCAGCTAATGCGAAACACCAGGAGACATTTCCTCGGTGTATATATTACAGAGTGCTGAGGCACTCGTCAGTTTTATATTAATGTCACCAATTGAACATTTTTGAAAATTTATTGTATTTTTTATTTTTTTTTAAATCAAGAGTGCTTGACTTATTAAACATTACTAAAGATTTAACAAACTGGGGAAAAATTGAAAAAACACTTTTTTTTCTCCCCCTTTTCTAACCTGCCGCAGGAATATATAACAGCTTTAAAAATTCCAGCAAGTCAAATCTATTAATTAAAGAAATGCTACTGAAATCCACTGACATTTCCATGGTAAGGCCAATATTCTTATGTTCAGGTGACTGCTGAAGTTATTATGAAACAATGCAGTATTTAGGAAGAAATAATTAAGACTGCTTTTAAACTGTGATTCTTTTTGTTTTGTTCTATTAAGCCAACATAAACTAGAGTTGCACTGCTGGTGCAAACATTACTGTATAATTGTGCAAAACAAAATCACCCTTTAAATATAAACCTAAAAAATAACAATTATTTGTATCATTGGACGGATGCACTGTGTGTGTGTGTATATATATATAAATATATATATATAACCGAGTAACAAAAGAAATCTTAATACCATCCGAGTATAATCAGGTACATGGAAAAGTAGAAAATACACCACGCACGCACATACTGTTATATATCTTTCAAATGTTGCTCACCACCAAATCAAATGTAACGAGAGTATTCTTATATGCACGTATTATGCAAAGAAAACATAGCCAAACAATACAAATGGGAACATTAGAGTGTGCCATTTCACACACAAGCCCTCTACAGGTAGGCGTAAGAGTTGGTGCAGCGACAGGGGGTCTGCATTGATGCCACAGTGATGACCTCCAGCTCTTTAGACGCAGGGCTCGACCTGTCCTGTCCCCCCTGGTCCTCACACTGATCCATGGGCCCCGGCCCTTGTGGTGGTGCAAACCCATTCAGCCCAAATGCAAAGGTTCCTGGCCCACCTGAGGTTACAGTCGCTGCCAACTCCATGTTCATGCTCTCCATCTGGGCCTCTTCAGCACCACCCAGTGGCCCATTCCCATTCAGCAACACGGGTGCCATGCAGAGACCTAAGACAGAAAGGATACATCAGTCTTGTGAAAACTAAGCTAGAAGGTTTTTACCATATCCATTCAAAGGCATTTTTTTCTTTAAAAATTACAATCATGCTGCAGTTTTTCCAAAAATAAATGCTGATATTTGCTCTTATCAATTAAAAAAAGACCTCTGCAGCTGAGAGATATTGCAGAAACTTGATTTTACTGCAGAACTGCAAATTCTTAGTTTGTCTCCATTCACTTTTGAATAACTGTTGCTTCTCAACTTTAAACTACCTAAACTGCAGGCCTTTTCATTACTGAAAGTGAAATGTAAACCTTTGATTATTCTAAGCTACAGCCATCCAGCAGCTCTGTCCTCCTTTACCACACATTTGCACATTTTACGCTACTCTTCAGTCTGGAAGAAGTTACAGACACAAAACCATGCTGAGCAGTCCTGTCTGTCACTTCAACATCCTGCACATTTATCTTAAAAACGTATGTGTTGCATTTCATGTTTGCAGCATCTTTGGCTAATAGCCCCTCCTTACTGATGTACTGATGCCATATAAGGTAACATCTTCTATTAGTAGAAATTCAAATATTGCACAGATTCCTTCAAATATGGAACATAATTTTGCACAGGGTTATTCTATATACACCTATAAGAAGACATGGGTATTGCACATATTCTTCCATGAGTAGAAAATACTGATATTTCACAGAATCTTCTGTATGTGGAAAAAAAGACAGTTAACAGAGTGTTTTAAATGTATTATTCTAAACACAGGTTTAATGTATTGACACTGCTGAGTGAAACAAAGTTTGTTTTTTTCTACATGTGGTCTACTGGTAGCAGTGCTGAGTGTCAAGTCAGGCAGCAGCAGGAAGGAAGGACCTGTGGTATCTCTCCTTCACACACCTCCGGTGAAACAGCCTTTTACTGAAGGAACTGCCAAGTGCTGTCAACACTACTTTAGAAGTAACCCAAAATAACTCAAATAGATATGATTAGCATAGCATCTTACCATTAGGTCTAGCCTTCTTCCCTGGGTTTGCTTCCATGCCATCAAAAGACCGCTTTCTGTTGGGCACGCCATTCAAGAAGCTGCGTCCTTGGATGGTGGGGTGAGCGTGGCCCCCATTCCGGGTCATGCCATTCAGAAAAACCCCATTGTGGGACTGAGCCATGTTTTGTTGGAAGTTCTGGGCATTGGAGAGAATTTCAGCGCACTCCTGGAATCCCTGCGCGTGGGCCAGGTCAGCAGCAGTCAGCCCACTGGCATTCCTCATACTGCACAATGAAAAGAACAAGTGTCAGAAACACTCACTGTACGTTTGACTCACACAAATAAAAAACAAAATAAGACAAGCCCAAGCGCACACACGCAGGCCCACACACACACACACACACACACGCACACACACACAGACTCATTAAGCAAATATTCGCACACACAGACAAACACAGATGTATAGAAATAGCCTGTGCTGCTCTACGCTCTCACATCCTCTTCGTCATCTTCATGAGAGATGACGACTGATCCCTTTAGGATCATTTGCATCTTCCACAAAACTTAAATTTTTAAACAGTTTCCGCATAAATAGGGAAACATGTCTGCTGCAAAAGGACATGATTAAGACAACTGAAGCTATGCACCAGTTTATTTTAATGAGCACCCGAAACAATCCAACGAACCAAATCGGATGATTCCGATTTGTATCAGCTGAGCTGCTGAATCCAAAGGAGGTCACTTCTGTGAGGTTTGTCTGGTCTGCAGAATGAATGTAACATCAAGGAGCATTGTGCCAAGACTGAAAAGAAACCATCATGTTTCCATCGATGATACTGGTCAAGGATTTCTGCAATGCTGCATCCAAATTCCAAGCATGTATATAGTCATGTCGATGAATCTATACTAATTAGAATGAGTGTGTGTAAAGTAGGACACTTGCACAGAAAAAAAGATGCATTCCTGAAAGCAACGGAGACTTGCAAAGCAACGGCATCTTCAGAGATAAATCCAAGACTCAGAATTTCCAGAGAGGACCAGGATGTGACAGCTCTATCTTTAGAGGAAACTCCAAAGAATTTATGGTTATGGGGAAAAGTGGAGCAAGGCCAAACTGCAGCCCTCAAGCATCAGGAATCCAGACGTCTCTTCTTGGACAAGCAAAGTTATAAACATCTAGTCTTGATCTTGTTTCAAGAAAGATGAACAAGAGGATGAAAGATAAGAAACAGTTGAGCTCCTTTAAGAAGTACTTGTTCAACCATTCATAATTCAGATTAGAGTCTCTGTACAGTTGTGTTAATCATAACCAGTTGCAGCAGGAATAATGTGATTTTCTGAGTGCAGTAATGAATGAGCAAACAGTGCTGTGTCACATTTTTTCCCCCAATTTTCAGACCTGTTCATGGCACTCTAGTATGGAAGCAATTTCACTGGAGAACAGAAAACTAGTCCTGTCAATTAAATCAAACCGTACTACATGAGAATTAAATCTTTCAGTATACTGTTTATGCAGCACTTAATAGTAAATAAACTGCTGGTTAAAAGAAATTCTCTTTTTGCTGTAACGTGCAGGATCACGTGTCTGCTTGTCAACTTTTGAAGGACACTGAAAATGTTCCACTAACCAATAGATGTCGTTCAGCTTAATGATGGGAATTTCTCACTTCTCTGTTAGCACATTACAAAACAATACTGCACTTGTTCTGATCCTAAATGTCATCACACTGCAGAATGAGTTCTCTGAGCAAACAGCTAAGCCTTTGTCAAAGAACTGGGACTACTGGCTCACATCCAACCAAGCACTTGGTTGAAACAGTCTCTATCTGTGGGGTATTTCATACACAATCCAATACACTAGAGAAAAAGTATTGCCAATCTGGACTGAATATAACACTATACTTTGTGGGTAATCTAAAAACTTCATGAATAAGCTCCTTTGCTTCATTTTATCTCACTATAAACTGTTGCGTTAGAACCCAGTGACATTGACTTCCACACAGTGAGGCACAATTTGAAGTACAACAGTTACTGTTTGGTCATTCATGTGGTTTAGAAATTGCTCATTCTCTGCATTTTTATCTAAACACTTGTGCAAAAAGAAACATTTCAAGAACTAGTGCACATGAAAAAAACATTTTATAAAGAATTGAAGATTTAAAAATAACAAAAGAGTAAAAATCACACAATAACTTGGTGCACATTACCCGTCCCCTTCAAAATTAACGCTTCCAAAAGGATTCTTCCAAGAGATTACAGTTGTAATGAAAACCATTTTGTGATAAGGTAGATGGATTGGTCTCACTCTAAGGAATAGAATTGTTGATGTGTCATAAGCTGCCATTTTTAACCCTCAATCAAATTAACTATTTAGTATCTTAACAACTTCAATTTGTCTCTCTTTGAACAAAACAGTTCCCAGAGAAAAGCAGTGAACCAGAGAGACAGATGAATAAAATATGACTGTGAGGAAAATATTTTCTAAGAATTCACTGGATTATTTCATCATTATTGTTCACTGCATTCATTGTAGTTCTGTTTCATTGTAAATGGTATTTTAGCCATACTTGTTGTCTAGACACTTAACCTCAGTGGTTAAATGTGCATCTTCTAGATCAACATGTGTGCTGACCTCAGATCAGATCCCACCACAGCTTTCCTCAAAATCAGGCTTCTTCCCTTTTTTAAACAAATTGAGGGCTTAAGATGACTAAAGTCACCGTTCAATTTAAAAATCTCCTAAATATTTACAAATTAGCAATCCCATAAACTTCCACAGATCACTACATCCTTGTGTTGGGGTTGGACAAGCATAAAGAAGAGGTTTAAAGTACCGCAGAGTTACCACAGCACCATGTTTTTGAACTTTTTTCAATACATTTGATTCACAAAGTTTAAAAAAGTAGCTAAATAATCTGACTTAAGTGTCGATGAGAGTCTGAGACATTTTAAATAACTGATGAGTACATTTAAATTTTACTGAACATTCTGAAAAGTGGATTATTTTTAGATTAACTGGCGGCTGCTCGTACATCCTCACTCATTACATCTCCTTAAATGCCCTCGTCTCGCCATAAAATATTTAACTCTGTAGCTTTTGCATCTAACATTAATTTGTACTCTAACATTCTTCCAACTTGAATTATTGAGTGACCCATGCATAACTGAAAAGCACTTGTCTCTTTCTATTGCCCTAAAAAAAAAAATCGCATCAGTATTCCTTTAGTGAGACCTCACATCCACAGTTAACTCTGATTCAACAAAATTGATAACTGTGTACACTTAACCCAGGATTGGCATGTACTTTTTTTTAAATTTATTTTTTCAAAGGAAGCGTTAATTCTTTGTAAATGCCTGGTATGCTTTGCTTTTCGGGTCCTAAGCACACAATATGTATCTTCTCTAACTATTGTCTAACCTTCCAGAGGCAGCCTATAATCATGCTACATGTTGACATGGGACTCACGTGATTAAAACCTGTCCATATAAAGGACTCCTATGGTTAGTTCACAAAATCATAAACAAATCATAAAACAAAAAACAAAAAGCTAAATACAATCATGGATAATAAGCAAAGCATGCAGGTCTAAAACTTTAGTTTTGATTCATAAAAAACCTAGCATTAAAACCAATCACCGCAAGAAATACCTCAACAGTTTGCCAGTGTGTAGATAGGAAGCGATAGTGAGAACACTCAATGCCACAACAGTGCGGCTATCCCAGGGAACGGGGCAGACTCAGCAGTGTCTATTCTCCCCCTTTCTAGGATTACTTGAAAAAACCAAGTCATTTCCAATTCAATGGCTGCAAAACATTAAGACGTACGGTTCTGGTTCTGTTAACAGTACAGAAAACTTTCTTTTGTAACTTATTGTCACTTTCATAAAGGAAAAGGTGACAAAGATTAGATGTCAAAACAGACTATGATATTGTATAGGGTTAATACTGTGACATACAAAATAAAACATTTCTGTGTATAAAGGAAAATATCTGGTACAGTGAAATGACAGTGAACAACCATTGCAACAGGATGATGTTAGCATTAAACAGTTCAGTACATGATGCTATGCAAGTCTAACCCATCTTACTCAGCTGCTCTAAGCATGTCTGCACTACTCTCGTCACCGGCAGCCTCTAAGCTCTGTCCTACCTGCTGCTAGCTTGCTACTGGACCACCTGTACACTTGGAGGCTCATGACAAATTAGAAATTTTAGTTTTAGAACGTTTCTACATTTGTGAGCACTTCAATAGAAATAGATCATTTATTTAATATTTTTAATATCTGAGTTTGTATTATCCCAGATGGTTGTATTATAAAAAGCTATTAAAGTTATTACAAGAGCATAGTTTGAATTTTTTTTTTTTTTTAGGATTTAAATTAAATAAGGAAGATTAGTATTTACACTGCACAAGGCAGAGTTAGGTTCATTGATGTCCAGCTGGGTCAAATGGATTTATTCCTATTTTTTTATGTTTAAATCTAAAAAAAAATGTCCTTCAATGAAAGTATGTAAGGTTGAAAGAGAGGATAAGGACACTTTTCCCTCGATCTTTCAACAGCACTGCAGCTTTTGTCCGGAAAGGGTTCTTCAGTGTAAAAAGTTGCAAGAAACAACACTTGTGTGTGCATATGAAGGAAATGGAGATGTATTATCCATGACAGCATTCCCTCAAGTTGCATCCAACGGTGAGTCCACTGGTATGATAAAGCAAATTCCAGTTTGTTTCCAAGATCCAGCTGAATTCATTCCCTTAAGGTTTCATGAAAAGCCCCTGTGGGTAAAAGCTTTTGTTCATATTTTGAAACTGACCCAGATATATCATAAACATATCAGAGGTATTAGGGCGCCTACTCATTAGGCCCACAGTAGGCCATTAGGTGCTGTTGGGGAAGTTTAGTCCATATCTACAGGCTTTTTGTGGTGCATCCAGAACCGCACTCAGTCTATCAGCAGCTATTTGGGCAATTAAGTGCTGAATCGGTGACAAAGGCAGCTGGAGAGACAGTGCAGCTCCTCCTAATGAATGTAAGAAGAATCCATTTTGTGCACTTTCTTCTCCCTCTTCACCTCAGCTTTTCCTTTTTCTTCCATTAGCAAAAAGGCTGAGTATGCAAGTGTGAAGAAAAGCAGAAGAAGACCCAGCTGCAATTTGTTCTAAAATATATTCAAAGCAGACAAATTCACAATAATGAATACAGGCTGCTGAGAGACAAATTAATTCCCCTCATGAAGGCGCAGGTCAGATGGCTACTCGCAGTCTTTGATGTGTCTCCAAGATCAACAGAAGAAGGGAGGTAGTATGAGCAAAGAAGAAATCGAAGGCCTTTTGCTCAAGAATGTTCTTAAAGGAAGTCAACAAGCAGAGCATTTAGCTGAGGAGGAATCCAGCGAAGATAAACTGATGACAAGGCCAGAGACTTAAACGCTAAGGTCACTGCATTCGTCATCCACATTTTCGATGCCACATAAAAATTCCAGCGTGTTTAAAGCGATAAATAAGGCAGCATCACTGTTCAAAGTTATTTAACAAGTGTTTGGAGGTGGTATTAATTATTATTTGTAATCGTGACAGTAAATGCTGACATTCGTGTCTAATAGATAGCACTGCAAGTTGTAATGAAGAATTAACTGGGTATTATACTCCCACTGCAGACAGGAGTGCAAAGGAAGCTCTTAGATGTGTGACAGCAGGGAGCTTAAATCCGTCTCCAAAGATAATCCCAAAGAAACCACGACACAGAGATGGATGGTCCGACATCTTGACGGGAGACTGAATGTTCAAGTTACCTTGAAAAAGGACATTCTGAATATCTGACTAGAGCCTAAAACTAAGGAAAGACTCAGCCTGGAATAATTGTGTTCATTTTTTTACATGTAATATTCATGTACAAGCAAAGACGTACATGAAGGTATATTTTTGTTTTGGGTGATTATAACACTAAAAGATTATATTATTATTAAAAGATGAAGGGAAGCATGCCCAGTGTGTGATACAGTCAACAGAACGGGTAAGAGATGGTGAAGTGAATTAATGTAGTTGTCCAACAGTGTTATGCGTCACAAAAACATCAAAGATGCTTACATAAGAAGCTTATGTTTGTCCTTACTACGCAACGGTTGCATAAAATTATTACTGACTTATTGCCATCGTGACACAGAATAGTTTATTATTAAAATATATCATGTATATTGTTAATTACTTAGGACATTACCACATCTAAGAATTATCTGTAATAGCTAAAAAGGTACATTTATAATCTAGTTTATACCATGTTACCTACAAAACTGTCTGCATTTATTTTAGATTTTTGCTACAACAACAAAAACAGGGGAAAAGGGTTCAGATTAGATCTCTATTGATGATTTTGATTGTGTATGTAATTCATTTGAACTTACATTTTGTTAAGCCCTTTTACTTTTTTGCCTCAGGGATGCTAAATGATTTATACAAAATGTTCAAAAAGAGAGCAACACTGCCGTCATAAATGTGTTCTTCATACACCAGAGCCTGCAGCAGCACATGATACACGGTGTATCATCATAGAGATTGTTTTATTGATTAGGTGGACAATTTCTTACTAAATATCCAGCACATCAGTTAAATCTGGAGTATTTAACCACATATGTTTAGAGATACTTTATTGAAAGCCATGTAATAATGATAATAATGTTTTTGTTTTGTTTGTTTTTTTACAGTTAAGTACTTTGTTATCTGATTTATTTAACAAACTTAAAAAAAAACCCTAATATGTTAGTAACAATAAGTTTGAAGTTATTTTGTCATGAGCCTCATTCCCACCTGGTGTGCCTTAGTTTCCCTCCCAGTTGTGCCCACTATATTTCTGGGTCATAAGTTACAAAAATAAATAAATAAAACAAACTTGACAATAGACTAAACTAAATATCTGTCATCTGCTGTGGGGAAAAAAATCACATATCAATTTCATCATAAACAGTACTCATCAGCTGATGACCAAATGCACATCACAGAACCTCAACAGGAACATTTTTAAACATGTCTGTACAAAAGCAGTGGATTGGATTTGTTGAAACAGTCAAAGCAACCAGGGGTTTCATATGCTGTGGAAAATTATCTAAAAGCAAATTATCCTGAACTCGTAAAGATTAATGTGTTTTAGCTTTGACACAGCAGTTATTTGTTGCTATTTCTTCATTTATAGTAAGTGCTTTTGTCACTAGGAGACATGCACTGAAACTACGAGGAAGATGTTTTACATCTGTGTTTTCACAACCTTTGAAAAAAAAAAAAAAAGGTGTGTTTGCATTATTTACATTCCTCAGTGAAGCAAGAGAAGACAAAGTCAACAGAACTAGCACATCAGGTTATAATTAGTATTGTCAAACACAAATGGCTTTTGCCCTTGTTTGAACCTGTGCATAATAGCTCATGGCTAATATTTCTCTACAATATTGACTCTCTTCACTGACAGTATTCAGTGAGGTCACATTTATTTAACTCCAAAAACTACACACAATAAACGTTGCATCTGTAAACTCCCCAGCAGTTTGGTGTTTCTGTATTTCAATTGTATCACAAAGAAAAGGCGTGCAGCTTGCAACAGAAAATGAAATCTTGGGCAAAGCATTTAGCTGAGAGAAAATAAACTGTGAATCTGCTACTTAAACTGGTAAATAATTTAAAATACAGGTTAAATAAAAGTTTTAGTGTCTCTGCATTAAAACGGAGACTTAGCCAAACCATGCATGAGGCAATTCATTCAGCTATGATTGAGTATGAGCAACAAGCAGCTCATAAAGTTTTGTTGTTTCTGCACTTACATAACCGGTTTCGACCAGGAGATAAATTAAGTGCTTAGTTGACTCAGCCGACATTTATGACCTTTAGGAAATAATAAGCATGCCAAGTTGACACTTATAATCATCTGTAACAGTTTCACCTCCCTGCAGGTCTTTGATCTAAATTTAACAAACAGGAAAGTTCTCTTAGCTCACGTTTCAGGTGCATTAACAATGACAAAATGTTTTCTGTAAATGGAATAACTCTGGCAGCACAAAAGAAGCATGTGCCAACAGTAAAGGTGTGGCTGAGGATTACACATCCTGCACGTCCACATCCTAAAATACTACTAAAAAAGTAAACGTATAATATGAAATCAAACACTTTGTAATCCATTTACAGTGACCCATCCATGTATCTACCAAACACCAAGAGTTTTCTGTGTAATTTTTATGCTAAAAGTAGACATGACAGTCGCCAAAACTGATCTAGCAGCTCTTGTACACGCTCAGAAAAATGTAATTCATACCAATTTTGTATGATTCAAGCATTTTCATTTAATGCAGCAGCCTGTAGCCTTTTCATAACGACAGTAACAGCAGTTTCAGGACAGACATAATGTGCATTTGGTCATCCAGTCAAGCTGTGTATGTAAGACACTAACCAAAACAAATGTTAACAAAGAAAACCACACTCTAGATTTAACAAAGATCATGCAATATGGCCTACTAGGTAAAAAACAGTTTATCAACCTTTACATTAAGTTGTCCTCATGCTCGTGTAATAACTGTGCGAGATTTCCAAAGCCATTTAAGATCAAAGGCACCGCGCAGTTAATTATTAACTTTTACTAACATGTCGGTATCTTTTAAATTACAAAGGCAATATAAAAGTGTCTGCTGAAAGTCAATGAAAACAGTACTTATGAATAATTCTCAATGAATCCAATATATGCTAGCAAATAATATTACACACAGAGGGCAACTTAATGCGAATTGTTGCAATGATAAACAACAATTTCAAGGATTAACAAAATGTGTCACATTTTCAAGGGAGCACCACCAATTCCATTAATGTTTAGCACCACATCTCATAATCAAGAACTCTTTAGCTGAAGAGGTTAAAGACTCACATGTTGTTGGGTTTTGGGTTTTTTTTAAACAATGACTTAGCATTCTGTGAGCTAAGTGTTGTCAGCTACACCTGAACTTTCCAGACAATATGTCGCAACTCTCTGCGGACAACAAACCATATCTCCATCAACTCTTAATCTAATCTGGGAGATAGGAATGTTTACACAGTTGCCTGGTGTAAATGTTATCACCAGAAATAACACATAGCAGCAGGTCAATGTGGTGTTTTATTCTATGGATCTCTAACAGAACTAAATGTACACTCTTGAAATTTGTGCTCATGTTTTAACATTGTTTACTGTGATACACTGACACAACCTAAATGATTTAATGTAGAGTTACTATTTAGCAGAGCAGCTTCCTTTTGGCTGGGTATGCATCAGCCATACTGCCAAGAAATGTAATGTTCCAGATTACTTTTATTTTTTTCCACGTTTCATAAATTTATGTTTGTCAAATCCATTTCAGACCTGCACAGTTAATTTGCAGGTCCTATGATTAATCTGTCGGCATGTGTGGAGAAACCACATATAAATAAGCAATCAAACTTCATCACTGCTCTGACTTGAGGTTGGTGGTGATCCCTTGTAAAGGTGTAACTGAGATGTTGGATAGTACAGAGGAAAAGAAATGAGGTCACAGGACTGATCACAGGACTTACTCAGCTTTCGCTCCCTGAATCAAGAGAGCGTTGATACACTCCAGACTGCCCGCACGAGCAGCCTTGTGGATGGGCGTCTCGCCCACATAGTCCTGTGTGATGACAAAAGACTGCTGTTACACACAGACTGTATTGTGCACAAGATCAGTGCTGTGAGCAAAAACACTTGTCTATTTCAGACACTGACAGTGCATATGTCTGAGTTTTTATCAAACGTATACTCCATTACTCCCGCCTTTTCCATTTCCAAGGACAGACAACAGAAGGGATAAAGATAACAGGGTGTAACTCTGCAGAGTAGCGCCTGAACTTTTCACCCAGACATCACCATCCCCCACACACATTTACTGTTACACATTAGTAAGAGTGCAGATGGAAGGGAGAAAAAAACCGCACTAAGAAGTCTGTCTGTAACCACAATGCAATGTAGGGCATGTTCTAATACGACGCTGTTTTACTATCCAACACCAGCCAAGTCAAACCACTATGAAGACGGAGAAGAAAGATCATAAATCCTAGAATTTCCCCAGGTGTTACATTCCCTCATATGCTCAGCAAATTCAAAGGAAACTGCTCGCAATGTGCTTCGTGATGACGACAACATGTTATGTCATTGTGACCTACTAATCCGATTTTCCCTCAGAAGTGCAGTGGAGCATAAAATATAGCCTCAGTGCATGAGTCTGCAGATCAAAACCCATTGAGAGAAAGAGATGTGACAGTTAAAAGAAAGAACAGTCTGACAGTAACTCCACCATGACACAACGCGATGGTCGCACGCAGAATAAGAATATAGGTCAAGTGGAGGAGTAAGTAGCAAAACTGCAAAGGCCGTGACCCTCGGTTACAATGATCCTGCTTGATGGGATCATCTGAGCTTAACCCCCTCACATTGCTGTGCTCTTTTCACTCCCACACTGGTACCTCTGCCTGTTTACATCGAAGTTTCTATTTCCACAAGCGGTGTTTTCCCCCAGTACAGTGAGTAAACTTTGCAAAAAGCTCCTGCTTACAGGCGTCTCTGCAAGGTAATGTTGATAATAAAAAAAATTCCTGGAACCAACTCAACTGTTAAATTCACATGTGTTGAGTGTGCAGACGATGATCATACCTGTCTGTTAATATCTGCGCCGGTTTGAAGTAGCCATAACAAACACTCAGGGTGGCCTCCAAATGCAGCAATGTGAGTGGGCGTCTGTGCAAACCTGGAGGTGACTGCATTCACATTACTGCCCACTTGAACCAGATGCATCACACACTCCAGCTGTGAAGAAACAGGAGCATAGCATTAAAACAATAAATCACACAGACCACATGCACACATTCATTCACTGCTTTTCTGTGGCTTTGGGCAGGTTTGGACACGTGAGTGGTTGAATGGAGGCAAAAAAAAAATGCAACACTATTACGTGGACTGACTCGGTTTCTCCGTCTGTCTCCAGAGGTTTTGCTTTGGGCATCTGTGCAAACTGCTCCTGCCTTTTCCAAAAGCGCAGTTTGTTTAAAACTCATTTTAACACAAGTATGTTTGAGGGTGTTTAGCGATGGAAGTTAAACGTACAACCATTTTGAGGCCAGATATCACCCTTTTAGACAACTGTAAGGTTAAAAAGATTTAAAAAACGTTAGTTAGACGAGCTAACATAAGCGTTAATTAGGTTAGCTAACAAGCTAGCTAACTAACGTTTATGTTTGCCGTAACGTCATATTGGTGGTCAACGCATCACAAAACAGCCGTTAAATTAGCATTTTTCTCGCTTAATAACACATAAAACGCACCTAAAATGCAGGATATTTTAATATAATTTGAGAAATCTTGCGTTAGCTATTGAACAGTACGAGTTTAACGTTAACGGTCCATTGTCCGCCTCCAGTCAGCGATGGCTGCTGTTCGGTCTCATCAGCTAACAGTCGAGGCAAACATCAGGAAATGGCCGAGACGAGGCTCATGTCGGAGAGCGCCGCCGCTCATTCTGGATCCCGTTTCACCGGAATATTCACCAGGAGAAACCAGTTACGGCTCAACACATCACCTAACGAGCTACCTTTCCGAAATGAGCGGCCCAGTGTATGGGCGTCCAGCCGTAGAAGGTGTCCTCCACCGTGAGGTCAGCCGGGTTGGAGTTGCACTGAAGCAGGGAGCACAAGGCACCGACGTCTCCATCCCTGCAAGCCCGGTGGAGCGGGAAGCGGCTGTTCAGGACCTCCTCGCTCGAGAATCCAGACTCCACACTCACCGACATGGTAGCGGAGCGGAGCGGAAAGATGGACGGTAGCCGGCTACTCCTGCAGAGAGAGGCTGTAAAGTGCTGGGGCTATTGTTTGTTAGTGGGCGCAGACTTGGTGCCCGTGGATCAGGACACACGCCACCCTGACTGACTGCTGCGTCTTTCTGCCTGACAACACAAAGCAGGCGGCGCAGAGCACGCGCCGGAGTGAAACTTGAGGAGCGCAGAGAAATCCGCAAACTGCGGACTGGATCTGCCGCTCCTCACTTCCTGTTCACGGGCTGCTGCTGCTGCCAGGTTTTTTTTTTTATTATACGTATATCAGTGTAACTAACTTATCTTTATTCAACGCCTTTTATTACATGTTTGTTTCTTTATTTTTTATTTTTTTTTTTTTTTTACAGCTTCCAATTCGATTTTTGTCAACAGCTTAAGTTCATCACACACATTTCATATAACATGTAGTTTAGACGTTTTTAGTATGTTTTTGGAGCTCCTATACATAACATGTATAGCACCAAACAACAAAAGTTTTTTTTTTCTTTTTTTTGGTTGCATTTTTTGTATTTTTTTGTATTATTTTATTTCATTTGCAATATTATACGATTTTTTCTTCTTTTTTCTTCTTTTTTTTTACAGCTTCCAATTGGATTTTGTAGAAGAAATGTATAGTCCTCATGTGAAGTTTACTGTAGTGAGTGTTTATTAATATTCTGGTATAAGGTGGACTGACCAACACAGAGCAGGAGTCTGTGAAGGTGGACCAACCCCGAACATCTGCAGTCACACATTTATAGGGTATATCAGAGAGTAGGGGGGCCTGTATGTAAATACAGAAGCGAATAGTGGTTAGTTCACATACAGTTGCTAATGAAATGGCAGGAGGTAAGGGGACAATGAACAACAGGGGGTGGAATCGGGGGTCTGTGACAGCAGGTGGGAAAACACATGACAAAAGGTGATGGTAAAACACATGGCAAAAGGTGATGGTAAAACACATGGCAACAGGGGGTGGAATCGGGGGTCTGTGACCATCAAAAGAACAGAGAATGACTTTCTTAATCATCATCAAAATAAAAGAAAATGACTTTCTTCATCAATTTTCACCAGCAGCTTAAATTCATCATGCACATTTTTTTATATAACATGTATTTTAGAATTTTTTTGTATATTTTTGGAGCTTCTATACATAACAAAGAGCACCAAATAACCGTTTCTGAGCATTTTTTATTTATTTATTTTTTTTTTACATCTATTTTTTTTTCATTTTATTTAATTTGTAGTATTACACAGTTTCTTGTATAAACGTTTTCTAACTGGATTGCCAGACTAGAATTAAACTCTGTTTCTGAAAATCGGAAATTTAAATTGAACGTTTCTTGAAGCATAGAGGTACACTGTTTTTGTACAGTATGTTTTGGCTCCAATACATAACATTGTGCATAGAATAATCTGGATTAAAAAAAAAGAGCACCACAATCTCCCTTTTCCTTTATTGTTGTTGTTGTTTTTGTTTATGTTTCATTTGCATAAATACAACAAATGTTTCACAAATCATGCGCTGTCTTAATAGACTTTAGCTTCTCATCGTCTACTCCAGATTTGTAGTGTATATTTGGTAGTTTTAGATATGGACCTGGTCTAATGTAGTCCAGATATGAAAAAAACCCAAAACTAAATCTCCCCTTTTTGAGTTTTCCACAAATAGAATAAAAGTATCACAGCTCATAAAGTGTGCTTTAAAGAGCCTGTTACCTCTTTAAGAGGGTCTGGCCCACGTTAGACTTGTCTATGTTTAGTAGTTTTTGATCTCGAGCTGGTCTAATATGGTCCAGATGTGAACAAAAACCCACCAAAGTCTTTCCTTTTTGCAGTTTAACAAATAGAATAAACGTTTCACAAATCAGAAAATGTGCTTTTAAGAGTCTTCATCCTTTTTAAGACAATGTGGTCCAGATTGGACCAGTCTATACATAGTTTTTAATCTGGACTTTTTACTGATGTGATTCATGTGCAAGAACAACAATGAAGGAACTGAATTTATGAACACAGAAACAGCTTAACAGTCAGCTGGCTGATGGTTGCTTTAAATCATTAGCACATGTATGTATGATTTAGTTCACTCTGTGTGTGAGCTGAAGGAAAACACAGAAATGAGCTGCCTGGAATTAACATTTCGCTCACTGCATTCATCTGTGCTGCCTGCCAAGCCCCTCCCACTGCAGGTTTTGCCAACGTAACTTAACTGCCTCACTAAAAAAATGATCCAAACCCACACAAGATAGAAGAAAACCACTAGTCATCAATTTCATCCTCATTTTGTAAATGAGGGTAAATAAGCCTGTCAAGATCAAACACAGAAACATCTCAGATAAAAGTTTATTCAATCAATAGATGGCCAACTAAAAATCAGAAAAATAATTTAGTTTCAGTATCCAGACAAAGAAAATTAAAAGCAGCTTGTCAAGACCCCCCAGCCTCGGCCCAGCTCCTTCCTGTCTCCCTCTTTGTCTCTCTCTCCCTGTCAGTACTCATCAGCTCAATCGGTGACAGCTGCTGTAATTGACTCACCTGGATCTAATCACCACAGCTCCCTAAAACCCAGCTCATCCCTCCACTCTCTGCCAGATCATTGACTCGGGAACCTGTTTCCCTGCCACTGCTGTCCAGCTACTGCTACTCGGCCATGAATAAGCTCCACACTACCTTTGATTCTCCAGCTGCTTCTTAGTTTCCCGTCCACCATCCAATCCTGCCCACAGCCTGCCAAGCCCTCATTGCCCTGATCTGTCCTGCCTGATCCTGACTCCCTCCTTACAGCCGGTCTGTCTTTCCCCTTGTAGTTTTTGTGAGTACACCCCGTTTTGTTCACTGAGATCAGCCTTCTGTATTTTATTAATCGTCCCTCTGTTAGTTTAGTGACTTTTAGTGTTTTTCAGTTTTGCCCCTTTTTGTGCTTTAGGATTGGTTGCTTGATATTTAGTTATACTGTATATATAACTTATTTTATATTTAAATCTCTATTTTATTTTTTGCTCTTTATTTTGTTCTTTATTCTATGCTGCACTGAAGGAGCTGCTCTTAATCTCATTGTACATGTGTATAGTGACAATAAAGGCATTCTATTCTAGTTCCCCTTACAGCTTAGATTCCCCATTCTTGATGTAAGTTTTGGTAATTATTTAAAATAAACTGTTTAATCTTGATTTGTCTCCTGTTCTTGTGTCTGCACTTGAGTCCAAACCTGTTCTGTGACACTTCTGAACATTTCAGAAAAACTTCAGAATATTGAATCATTTCAATTAACTTGCAAAGTTCAGTTTGTTCAACTTGTTTCAGTTCAGTTTTTGAGGTGGAGGAAGTGTACACTATGTCACACAAGTGAGTACTCACATTTCTGCAAATATTTTATTCTATCTTCTAATGTGACAACACTGAAGAAATGACACATTGCTACAATGTAAAGTAGTCGATGTACAGCTTGTTTAACAGTGTGCATCTACTGTCCCCTCAAAATAACAATCATTAATGTCTAAACCACTGACAACAAAAGTGAGTACATCCCTGAGTGAAAATGTCCACATTGGGCCCAAAGTGTCAATATTTTGTGTGGCCACCATTATTTTCCAGCACTGCCTTTACCCTCTGGGGAATGGAGTTCACCAGAGCTTCACAGGTTGCAACTGGAATCCTCTTGACCTACTGTATAGGAGGTATGACATTGTTAGTGAGGGGCTTAGAGGCTAATGAAGGTAGGGGAGGATCGTGAAAGTGATAATGCAAGCTAGAATAACCGGTCCTGCTCCTGGGGTCAGTTTCTTAGGGATCACATATCTGGCTGGTTCTGGGTTCCACAGCTAGTCATTTTACTTTAATACGTTCAATTTGAAGCAAAGATGACCAGATGCTGGATTGATCTTTCTGAAATCTCCTTCTCCCAACTCTCACTTCTCTCTATGCCTCCAGACAGGTGTCTTGTTTGACACCTCACTTCCTCTTTACATTTCCTGCCAGGAGTAAAAAAAAGAGCTGTTATGTCTGTTTTCAGTTCTGCCACAAGTCATAAAGTCATATATATATATATATACACACACACACTATATAGTCAAATGAGTCTAGTCTATGTAGATGTTTTAGATGTGGACCTGGTCTAATGTAGTCCAGCTGTGAAAAAAGCACAAAGAGCCAAACGACTATTTGTTTAGAGTGTACAAGGCTGTGACTTGAGTATTTGACCCACCCCCTTCTCTTTTTTAACCTGAACTTGATTACTTTTGGAAAGTGAAGTATGCAGAATCGCCTGTTGCAGTTCCTGATGTGCCATCAGATGTACAAATGATTTACTTTGTTTGTGGGAAAAGCCTTAAATCCTGATGATTCTGGAGTTAAAAGCAACATTTATGGATGTTCATTCCCCATAGACATCTGAGCTTGTCTGGGGAAGTGTTCAGAGAATCCTAATATCTGCATCATGTTCAATTTGACTCAGTTAAGGCTCCTTCTTCTGACACAAATTGCAGCAGTCGTGCTAATGTTTTAAAGTAGCTGCCAGCATGAGCCATGCATCACTGCTTCTCGGGATCCTGTTGATAAGAGATCTAAACTACAATGACTTGTTTTTAGGACACCTACACACAATTTGCCCTTTACACCTCACAGTAACTTTCTTTCCCTCCATCTACTCTGGAAGTCTCCTGTGCCTACCTCACAGTTTACAACTTTTCCAAAGTATAAACTGCTCTAAAGCCATAAACTATAACACGTCTCCTAAATTTACTTTTATCCAATTGTCAAGTGTTGCAGCATTAAGAGGAAAACCATTTAATCTGGCCACACTCAAGTTTCTAGGAGTGCTACTGCCACCTTGTGATTTAAGGTGTGGCTCAGAATGGCCTTCTGTTTTCCACAAACACATCCAGATCATTTTCTAAAGTAGCACTGCACTATAAATAAGCTGCTACCACTAAGCCATGAATTCTCACGTTTCACACAAACTGTACTTAAAGCATCAGGTGTGTCTACTCCTTAAAACAGTTGTGTATCATTGCATTTTTTTTTCTTTATAAGAAGTATTCATGTTGGATTAGGGTGTTAGAAGCAGTGAAAATCAGTAAATAATGTCCTGACACAAGTGTTTTGTTGCTCCAGGTGAGACAGGCCTGTATAAATCAATAAAGTGAGACT